CTCTGATTCGCGTACGGCTGCGGCGCATGGTAAGCTTGTCGACGCGTCGCACCGGATCGCGTCCCATTCTCCGCCTGCTGCGTCGGTGCCGAAGCCGGAGGCTGAGAGGAAGAAATTGAAGGTGGTGCCAAGTGGAGCTCCGGCCTCTTCTTCGAGTGAGTTGACTCAGCCGAGTTCGAGGCGGCCTGGGGAGCTTAAACGTTATTTGTTACTAGTTGTGGTAAGCCATTTGATTCATTTTCAGAATTTGCATCAATTTTCGTACTCTCTAACTTTACTCAGCTGAGCTCAACTACTAGATTTTCTGATTTCTGTTGAAAGGAATGTAGGCTTTTGTAAATTCTACCATACCGTTTTTCAACTTCCCCTAGATTCTAGGAAACAAATGCTTTAAAAACAACGTTTTTTTTCTGTTCTCATATACCTATTTTTAGGTAAAAGCTCTTTTTTTTAAGGGAAAAAAAAATGCATATCCACAATTCTATACTAATTTATGTTGAATTTTACGTATGTATAAGGTTTTCAATCGGTTGAATGAACTACTTAAAATAACATAATGCTAATTTATTTATGACCCAAGTCCTTCCAACAGAAAGGAGAGAGAAAAAAAAGTAACTTTACTCCTTGCAATCACACTGTTCCCATTTATGCTGCAGTTGTATGTTGGTTTCATCTGCTGTTTATGGATAGAAGCTGTTTCTGTATTAAAGTTACCGAAAATGCTAAATACCATGAGGAGAAGTGATGTGCCTATGTCTACGTCATATAATAAGATGTACTACCATTATCTTATTCTTTAGTTGTTTAGCTGCTCACTGATTACGGGAATTTTCTGGATTTTTAAGAAATAAATAGTAAATTATGTTAATTTATCAGCACCTCCTTTGCCTTTCTTTGTGCAAAATCTATATCAACCAGATATTGCTTCTGATGTTGTACTTTTGTATTGTTGAAATTACGAGTTTAATAATTTTGTATAAACCTCTTCTGTTGCAGCTCACTTTCACTTGTGTATTATCTGTAACTTATGTATTTTATCTGCGGCAGAGAGTTGCACAACTTGAGGTATGTTTCATGGCTTCAACCCTATTTCGGTTCTTGGTTTGACATTCTCTTTAGTAGTCTCCCTAATAATCAATTATGCTGCTTTCAGGAATGGTGTACCAAAAAAGATATCGATTCAAATAGCAGCTTTAGTCTTTTTCTGGCTGAGAAGAATCCCCTTTTTTTCCATTTTGCTAATGCTGAAAGAAGAACTGTTGCTTTGTATGCTGTGGTCATTATTCTTACTATGCCATTTGTATTGTACAAACATCTTGATTATCTTTCCCAAATAAGGAATCTCTCAAAAAGGTTGAAGAGTAACAATGAGGAGGTTCCCATAAAGAAGAGGATTGCATATATGGTGGATGTGTGTTTCTCTGTCTATCCATATGCGAAACTGCTTGCGCTTCTGTTTGCTACAATATTTCTTATAGTGTTTGGTGGATTGGCATTGTATGCAGTCAATAAAAATAGCTTTGCTGAAGCTCTTTGGCTCTCATGGACTTTTGTTGCTGATTCTGGAAACCATGCTGACACAGAAGGCCTTGGGCCAAGGATAGTTTCTGTCTCTATAAGTTCAGGAGGCATGCTAATATTTGCAATGATGCTTGGGCTTGTTTCTGATGCTATATCAGAGAAGGTTGATTCACTGCGGAAAGGGAAGAGTGAAGTCATTGAAATGAACCACATCCTAATTCTTGGATGGAGTGACAAACTGGTAAACTCTCGACCATTTTTAAATTGGATACACCCTCTATGTAAAATTCATGGTTTATATTCAAGTGATATCTCAATCTTGCTTTCCCTTTAAACCTTTTTCTTCTTTAGATCTCTAATTTTGTTTTAGATTTGGGATGTGATTCACAAATTCTGGGATGCCATACGACTTGAATTTCTTTAAAATTTTATTGTTGGGCATTTACTATATGATGTGAAACATGAACTTAGTTGTTAACACATACCAAAAAGAATAGGGAACTTAGGTGTTTGCATGACTATTAGTCTTTAAGTGATATGTCCATCTTGCTTCTTGAATATGCTTTTAGATTTGTACTTTTGGCAGTTAGTACTGTATGGGTAATTATAATTGTCTCTAGAGACTCATTTTAAGTCCTTTGTTGTTTCACTTCTTCTGTATTCATTTTAACTGGTTTCACAGATAGATTCTTGTAAGTTCATGTTTCTCTTGCAATTGAAAAACGTTCCTTAAAGGCCCCTAAACCTCTATTTCCTTATCGTCTATGAAACTAAGCACCATTATATCTTACAAAAGAAGTTCTCTGTGTGAGCTTTATAGTTAAGGAGTCAAACAGGAAAGAAAGAAGGGGAATTAAAATTTTCGTTTTTTTGTTGCTTCAGGGTTCACTTCTAAAGCAGCTAGCAATAGCAAACAAGAGTGTTGGTGGTGGTGTTGTTGTTGTACTTGCTGAAAGAGACAAGGAGGAAATGGAGCTGGATATAGCAAAGCTTGAATTTGACTTCATGGGGACCTCTGTTATATGCAGAAGTGGCAGCCCTCTTATACTGGCTGACCTGAAGAAGGTACGTTGGGTGTCTTTGATATTCCTCTTATATACTACTAGTACTAATGATTGTAGTTTTGTTCGTAGAAGGGTTCAATACTATGTATTTCATTTTCTCAACTGCTGGTAGTATTATTTTGATTGGAACATATATTTTTCAAGGTAGTTATAGGTGCTTCATCCTCTTTTCATAATGTTATTGTTTCTCCTTCTCTCTCTCTCTCTCTCTCTCATGGTTGCTGATTCAGATTGGGTTTTGTTTTGTCATTTGCAGGTCTCAGTTTCAAAGGCACGTGCTATCATTGTATTGGCATCTGATGAAAATGCAGATCAGGTTATTTCTTATTTCAGATGTCCTCGTACGTTTCTCAAAGGTTTACATTATTGCGCATCAAACTTTAGTTACATTGGTTGTATTATGTTTCCAGAGTGATGCACGTGCTTTGAGGGTTGTGCTCAGCCTAACTGGGGTGAAAGAGGGTTTGAGGGGTCATATTGTTGTAGAGATGAGTGACCTTGACAATGAGCCTCTGGTGAAGCTTGTTGGAGGAGAACTCATAGAAACAGTTGTAGCACATGATGTGATTGGAAGGCTGATGATACAGTGTGCTCTGCAGCCTGGTCTTGCACAGGTAACTCTAGGGAGCTAAGCTTTAATTACACTTCTTAAAACTTGTGCAAGTCATATAAGACTAGTTCTTTCCTTCTGTGATTAAGTTTGTTTTCCTGAGTTCTGATAATATTTTAATTCCATTTAAGTATATATTTGTCTGGTGAGACAAGGTTCACTGGGCTGAGTAGGGCTCGAAAATGGCCCAGGGAACAGTGCGCCAGCCTGTTTTAGGCCATGAATCAGCATGGCCCAATACCTAGCCCAAGGCTCACACTTGTATACCTAAATAGTTTTTATTTTGTTTTATTTAATATTGTTAGAGTTGTTAAATATTGCTTCATTATTTTAATGAATTATGTATATATTTGGTAAGAGCCTAGTTACATTAGGGGTAGGAGTAGCTTTCTACAAGGAATTGATATAGTTTACCACAACGGTTCTACTCCAAATAGGAAACATTATTTGTGCAGAACCAGTCAATTCTTGCCACATATTGAAGAGTGAAACCTATGTGGAAAGGGGCAAACCCAAGGAAAAAGTAATGCCATTTAATGAGCATTTTAGGAAACATTCTCAATTATTAAGTTTACAGTTACTGATCATTCCAATTGTATGGCTGAAAATCACTCTTTGTTGAGAACAGCAAGAAATATTTTGAAGAGTTGAGAGAAGTACAAAACATGATGGAGAGGGATTCATCAGAATCACGTAAAGATGCAACCAAAAACAGCAAGACCCCAAACCAAACCAAAGCAAACAACCCACAGAGTCTAAAATGGCAGACCAATCCAAAGGATAAGGCAATTGGAGTGCAGAAACAAATGGTTCACGCTTTCTGCTCCATCTTTGCACATCACATACCATTAAGGAAGAAGACAATGAGGAATTTTTATTTCTTGAACTGTAACCCGAACATGAGTGACCATCTGTGCTAACACCCAAACCTTAGGAGGTACTTTTGTCCTCCAAAATGCATTTGAGGGGATGACAGGAGAAAGAGAAGGGTTATCCATCAAATGTCTCAAGTAGGATTCATGAGAACATAGACAATATCTCTCTTACATGATTTAAACCTTGGGATTCTATATTATCTCTTTTGCATATCCGAAAAACCATATATGCTTTATATTTTTCAATAAATTCTTGTTTTCACTAATTTATTAATTTTCTTTGGTCAGATATGGGAGGACATATTGGGGTTTGAGAATGCTGAGTTTTACATCAAAAGGTGGCCTCAATTGGATGGTCTTCGTTTTGAAAATGTGCTTATTTCATTTCCTGATGCAATTCCTTGTGGAATTAAGGTTGCTGCAGATGGTGGGAAGATAATCTTAAATCCAGATGATACTTATGTTCTGAAAGATGGGGATGAGGTTCTGGTTATAGCAGAAGATGATGACACTTATGCTCCATGCTCCTGTCCAGAGGTTATCAATATTTTCTTTATGTACCAACAATATACTGTAAAAATTGGAAAGTTTCAAAACTATATTTTGTGCTACACTGCTACTATTATGCTGATAATGATATCATTCTCAGATTTAATAGTGAAGTATGAAGACCCCAGCAGTTACATTAAGCAACTCACTCGTTTGTAGAAAATATTTTTGATTCTTAGTTGATGAATCCCCATTATACAGGATTAACAACTGAACAAGAAATTTTTAAGGATTAACAATCAAACTAGGTTATCTTTCTTTGCTCTGTCTCTCTGTCACTCTCCCCCCACCCTCCAATTTGTATGGTTTTTGGGTTCACCTATATGACATGCACCTGGCATGGTTACTAGGTATAAATTTGCTGGTTTAGAAGCACAACAAATGGATTGCTGTTTAACAGGAAAGCAAATGGTCAACTAGGTCCATACACATTCACTGTTTTCTCGTTTTCCTTTTTCCTTTTCTTTTGTCGTCAGACCTGCATAGCTTTCCGAAAATTAATGTAAAATTATCTGCTAAGTTTACTGGATGCCTTGGATGCCATTATTATATTTGCCTGAATATGTATAAGAAAATTAGGAATGATGACATTTGACATGCCTGAGCTCATGTTGTGTCCTTTGTGCAGGTATGCGCAGGCTCTTGTCCAAAGACAGTTGAACCTCCCAAATACCCTGAGAAGATATTGTTTTGTGGCTGGCGTCGTGACATAGACGATATGATTATGGTAACTCAGTTAATATTGTCTCATAAACATTATCTTTTCTGGAAAAAAAAGTGTAAAGCAACAGTACTAGTCAACAAAAATAGCATAGTAATCAGCAATATCCATGGGGAATAGAAATTAACTACATTCATTGGCGTTCGGCATACAAAGGGAACAATTTTTTTTTTCATTTTACTTGAAACATGCAAAAAATTTCATTTACAAGAAGACTGACACAAAACCTATGTTGAATCTTGATACCTCAAAGTTTCAGTTGAAAAGGTGCCATTTAGAACAGTTTCCTTAAAAAATATGGTGCTTCCACCAAAATTGTGGTGTTTCTGTGGATTCAGTGTATGGTTCTACTTTATCCGGGGAACAATTAGTGGCAGAGTTGAAATCTTAGCTGAATCGGACAATGCTGACTAAAACAATCTGATGCAGAATGCATATTATTAGTTTTCCTAATTCTTAAAGATTCCTTCTTGTTAAAGGATCTCTTATTAGTTAATTTGCTTTACTATTTCTTAAAATTTACTTTTCCTTTTCCTAGACTAAAAAGGGTTTTGCCTCTATAAATAGAGTTGTTTGTAATCTTTGAAGGCAGACTTGATTAATGATAAATTTCCTTACTTTAAACTCTCTGATTCCTTCCCTTTCCCTTCGTCTCTTCGATCTCTAATTCTTCTCCTCAATCCCTTATTTCTTCTCTGTTCTACTGCTCAAGTGTTTACTCTAAACCTACGGACTGTTCTACATCACAATCACACCTCTCTCTCTCTCTCTCTCTCTCTCTCTCTCTCATTTTTCTCTTTCCTGCCTCTTATTATTAACCTTTTCTCACTTTGGGTTGGGCTGTCTGGGACTTTTGGACTATAGGAATGGTTTCGTCTCTCACTTAATCTTTTGTTGGCTATTTCTTTTCCTTCCTTTGTTTTTTGTTGGGTGGGGGGGGGGGGGGGGGGGGCTTCGTGGTTTCTTCTTTCCCACCTGCTAATTATGAAAGGGTCACTAAGAAACTAGTACTTTTGGAATCTCTGCATAATTCAAGTTTGAGCTCCAACTTGATTTGTTGCTGAATTCTGCTTTTCAGGTTCTAGAGGCATTCTTGCCTCCAGGTTCAGAACTTTGGATGTTCAATGAAGTTCCTGTATTAGAAAGAGATAGGAAACTTACAGATGGTGGACTGGATGTTTCTAGATTGGAGAACATAAAGCTTGTCCACAAAGAAGGAAATGCTGTGATCAAACGGCATTTAGAGAGTCTTCCTCTGGAGACTTTTGATTCTGTAAGTTTGATTCTCTCTCTCTCTCTCTCTCTCTCTCTCTCTCTCATCTTGTATGTATTTTTTCCTTTCTGTAATCAAAGTTTATATTTCCGATGAAAAAAAGAAGAAAGAAAATGAGATATCACCACATCTCATATTTCAGAATTTGGCCCTGACCTTCAGAATGTTTTCTGCTGGTGCATAACTGCTAAATCTAAATTTATTGGGGAATGTACTTCTTATCCCTTGAAACCAAGTGATCTAATAGGAAGGACTTCACTAGAAAACTTCTTTCCCCTAAGCCACAATGCCAACTTATTTGAGTTAACATAATTTTTCAGAAGAAACAAAAATTTTATTAAGAATAATAAATCTGTACAAAGGGTGGGCTGGACCAGAAATCCACCTGAAAGAAACAATACAGAGTATCTGATTCTTGACCATAGTGAAGACACAGCTTCCCTCCAAGCTAAGTCAATATTAGAAAAAGAAAGGTCATCAAATTATGCTGTAATAGTAGCCCAAAGAGCTACTTTAGAAATTCAATAGAATTCTATTTTGCTTGGACAAAATGAGTCGCTTTGAAACTTTCTTGTGTAGACTTTCTTCTTCAACTTGTTACTAACTCTAAGTGGACAGATATTAATTCTTGCAGATGAATCACTGGAGGACTCTGTTGTTCATTCTGACTCAAGATCCCTTGCCACTCTTCTCCTTATACGAGATATACAGGTAACTTCAATTGCTGCATCCTGCCATAGGCGTGTAAGAGCGCTGATAAAAAAATCTGTCATCACTGATGTACATACATGCATGTATGCATATGTAAGGGAAAGTTCAGACAATCAGGCATAGACTGAATCAGCTCTAGTCCTAATGACTCTTCAAAAATTGATTATCCATCACCACCAGTTAAATTGACTCTTGCATCTTCATTCTTCAGAAATTCCTCCCTATTGACCTGAATTATTTTGTCAAGGTTTTAATCCATTTTGTAAACCTGTCATTCCTAGTAATCTAATACTTTGGGACATTCTTGTTATTTGAGATAAATGCTGTTTTCTTTTGTTCTCTTTTCTTTCGTTTGTTTTGGTGTTGAGGTTGCTGTTTACTTTTGTTTTGCTCTTGTGGATTCCTTATCCACTTGCTTGTTTCTTTGTTTATCTCTGAGGGCAGTAACATATCAGATTAATCCTCATGAAGCTTATTGATTTTAGGATGGTCAAGGGTTTTCTTAGGCTTAATTACACCTATTCCTTCTGAACTATTACACCTCTCTTTATGCCTCATTTTATGCCTTAACTTGTCCCAGTATTTTAAAATGCCCCATTCGTCAACCGCTGTCACTTTGGCCCTTGTATTGCTGATGTGGCCCCAATGTGGCTAACATTTTGTTGGGCTGGGACCTGTGTCTCGCACAAACCATTTTCCTATCTTCCTCTTTTTTCTTCTCTCTATGTCTCCCTCTCTAAACCTGGAGGTATAGCTTTGGAGCTCTCTCTAATGGCAGATCTTTAATTTTAACCGAACCACTCATTGAGCACCTGAACAAATGAAAAAGAATGAAGCCCCACAAACTCGCAGTACCTCTGCTCTAGATGCTCCTTCCCAAACGTGTACCCAACAAAAATCTTAACCTTCATTCCGGAGCTTTCATCATCAAAATGAAACCACAAAGAATAATCTGAGTTCTATTTTTTGGCCTGATCCATCTGAGTGCTGATTGTTTTATTTTAACATTTCCTGACTTCCTCAGACTCAACGCTCAATTAATTGTGGTTGCCAAGCTTTGATTTGAGATTTCAGATATTATATGTATCTCCTTTCTTTTGCTCATAGGAAAAATCTAAGTATTCGCTGTACTTGGGTTATGAATCTGGTGCATCTGATTTGCCATTATGGTTAATATTTTAAAATTTCATGTTTTGGTTATGATTTTGGTGCATAGAATTTCAGATCATGGCTTTTTTCTGTTTAGGGATTGGATTTGCTTTATATTTTAAGTATGATTATGTGGAAGTTGGATTATGTAAATTTGGCATTGAAGATGTTGCAACTCAATAATGACTACTAATATAAGCTACTTCTTCACTTTTGGATTGCAGTCAAAGCGTCTCCCTGACAAAGATACAAAGCCAACTTCTTTACGGTTGTCTGCATTTTCACACAGCTCTTGGATCCGTGAAATGCAGCAAGCTTCAGACAAATCAATAATAATTAGTGAAATTCTGGATTCTAGGACTAGAAACTTGGTCTCAGTGTCTAGAATCAGTGATTATGTGCTATCAAATGAACTGGTTAGTATGGCGCTGGCAATGGTGGCTGAAGACAAGCAAATCAATCGTGTCCTTGAGGAGCTATTTGCTGAACAGGTATTCTTCATACTCTGTTTTATGTTATTATAAATGTGTGATGAATGTTTTATAATTACATTACAAAGTAAGGAGCTGTTTTGGCAATCCAAAAGAGTCATCACGCACTCCTTCATTCTAAAAACACAAGGGAGAAATTGCACTTGGAGGACTGTAGGATGACTATTTTGGAGTGCCAATAACAGTTCCAAAAAATATAATTATAATTTATGTAGGAAAGATTGTAGATATTCTATGTGGGATAGATGAAGCAAATAGGATTTGAATAGAAAGAAGATATCAAATATAATTTGGCTGGATTTGTCTCCTTGAACGGGACCTTAGAAGTATACAGTTCGGATGAATCACATTGCAGGATAGACCACGATACTGGTCCTTTCTTTTCTTAAAAGAAGGATCCCACAACACACATATTTTCTTGACACTTCTCAAAGGTGTTTTTCCAGAGTATTTACTTCTAAAATTCTAATAGTTATTAATATATTCGGATATGTTTCTATTTTAATTAGTGATTGAAATTAAAAACTAAAAGACTAAAGCTTCGGGTTCTTTGTGCTTGGACAGGGGAATGAGATGTGCATAAAACCAGCAGAACTCTATTTATATGACCAGGAAGAACTCTGCTTTTATGATATAATGCTTAGGGGTCGTCAAAGGCAGGAAATCGTGATTGGATATCGGCTTGCAAACACAGAGCGGGCCATAATTAACCCATCACTGAAGTCAGAACGAAGAAAATGGTCCCATGATGATGTTTTTGTGGTCATCTCCATAAGTGAATGAACCTAATTTAACAAAGGAGTGCTAAACTGGTCTACGCTTGACATCTGCAGTAATCAGGAGTTGCCCTTCTTTCCCCTCCCCAACCTCACCAATATTACCAATACGTACTGAGAAATATTTTGTATTCATTGGGGAAGCGGATTCGGTCATGATTCCAGGAAAGTGCCGGTTCTTGCTGAAGAGGATGACATCCCTTCCCACCTGAAAAGGTAGTTGTATCAATGGGCGCATGGTGACTTAAATCAGAATATGAAGTTAGTTGGCTGGATGATGGGCATTCATGTTGTACAATTCTAAATATTTCTTGTTTAAAAATGAGTATATTCTTATTGTGATGGAAAATATGTTTTATGGAGAAATTCCTGTGAACCCCGAGGTTGAATTACTTTGTAAGATCCTTCTGACTTGTGACAATTGATTAAATTAGGATTTTGTAAATTCAATTAAGTTTGACTCCGAAAATGAGAATTCGATTCATTACAAAATTTATGTAAAAATGATGTTTATGTTCTTGGATAACCTGTTTTCCTACCTCCTTTTAAATACAGCAAGAGATAGTTCATGTCAGTTCAAATCCTTCGTGTTTATTTGGACGATACATTTTTCGTAAGTTTTGATAATCCATTATGTGTGGTTTAATCATATGGATATCTGAGATTCATGCCAGTTCAAAAACCGCATTAGCTCTGCCCTTGTATGGTAGATCATGAATGTGTTCAATTCTCACTTCTTCCAATTATATTAATAAAGAAAAAGGTGATTCCCCATAAGGAGATGGTGGGCCTAGATTTTAGGCTTAATAAAAAGAACAAAGGAACTTGCTTTTTTATTTTTTTAAAGGAATTTTCTTCAATTCGTTTTCTCTCTTCTCCTTTAATAGGTGACATAGGGAGAGAGATAAAAAGAAGGCAATAACACGATGATAAATCTCTCTATCTCTCTCCTCCCTTGATAGGCGACGTAAGAAGAGATAATAGAGAGAGGAGGGCAATGCAAATTGGTTTAGGTACTACTCAACAAGTGGGACTTCTTCTTTCATTATAATTTATCTGATGAGTCATGACAAGTCAAAACTACTGGAAAACGTGTTTTAATTGCACGACATGTTTCTATCGTCTTGCTGGGAGCCTCCTCAACCAACCACAAATGATAAATGAACATTATTATGACATAAGGTAGAGTTTTTGTTTTGTTTTTGTTTTGTTTGGGTCCAGCTAGTACTAATGCTAGGGCTTGTCTAATTTTAGCATTTAGGTTGTAATTGAATATTTATTAAAGATAAAATTGTAGCAATGGTCCTTGGACTAAGATCAAACTTTACTTTCGTCCATCGTATTGTTAAATTGTTACGGTGGTATTTTAATTATGTCTTCACTTTCAGAAATCGTCATTTCTCTCATCTCAGTCAATCTTTCCGTTAAAAATGATGACATGACAATGACAAATCCTACTTGACTTGGGCAAAAATGTCTTTTCACACAAAATTTAAAAAATTAAATCAAATCTCTCTCTCTCTCTCTCTCTCTCTCTCTCTCTCTCTCTCTCTCTCTCTCTCTCTCTCTCTCTCTCTATGCAGCCGCGATTTCAAAATTCACTCAACCTACCCAGCACCATTTTTGTAAAATTTGAACCACTAGACTTCAAAATTCACTCAACTGGTCACTCAACCATATTTCTTCTCCTCCCCACCAATTTCTTCACACACCCAAATTTCTTCCCAGCCCCAAATTTCTATGCTGACAAAAAAGAATGGCCTCTCTATTTATTCATCAGCCAAGCATGACTTAGCTATTTTTGGTCTGAAATTCATGTTGTATTCATAAAACCCCAAAACAGGGAATAGAGATACAAACAGAAGGCTAAAGCCACGAGGAGCCAACAGAACGCAAGAACAAATAACAAAACAGTACATGAAATTGAAACCTATATGAGGAGCGATTTTCAGTGCAGCCAAAAACCCAAAAGGTAATGGAAGGCGATCCATCCTCCCACTAAGGAGACAGACAATGCAAGCGGCCCACCTAGATACCCATCAACCTTCACTGCACGGTGAATATGTCATCCAGTCAATGTGGAAGATAGCAGAGAAAGCCTTAATGTGTGTTCAAGCACATGGATTCATGAGGCCATCAATCTTAGAAATTCTCAAGGAAATCCAAGATGCAATCTCAATCGAAAGAGATGTTGGAGCAGCAAGAGATGGTACATCAGAGACATCAAGGAATTCAATTAATTCTTCCTTGAACTCCATGGATCTTGGTGGAACATATAATTTCTTGTCAATTGATGACTCTATCGCACGGCCAACTGCCTGATAGTGCGATTTTCTTGGCAATGTATACATGACATTATAATTTTTTTTATTTTAGGAGAGGGTGGCTGTGGGATAGGTTTGAGGGTTGGAGCTTGCAGGTGGTAGTCATGGGGGAAGAAGAAATCGTCAGGTGGTAGTCGTGGGGGAAGAAGAAATCGTCGGGAGAGAGAGAGAGAGAGAGAGAGAGAGAAATATGAATTTCCCAATTTGCCCTTAATTTTGATAGAAAATTTAACTAAAAGTTGATGAAAAGACCAATGATGCAACATGAGATCTAATTGAAACGTCACCGTAACAATTTAACAATATGAGGGACGAAAAGTAAAGTTTGGTCTAAAAGGGAAGAAAACTAGTCTTGGGTTGAAGCTTTTAACATAATGTCATTTTTAGTCATTATACATAACTCACAATACTTTACCAAATACTCATAAACAGATTATTGTACAAACAACACTTTTAATAAAAAATTTATCAAACGCCAAACTGCTTTATTTCACAACTGATTTCTTTCACATCAAATCTGACAACAACTATTTTTACAACACAACAATACCAAACTGGCTCTTAGTCCAGGAATTATTGCTATAATTTTGTCTTTATTTAAATAGAAAGTTCCAGTACAAGGCCCAAAAGAGGCAAAGCCCAACAAAGCCAAGGGCCGGATAATTGCCGACAACAAAACAAAGCATTAATATACAAGCAAACCCCAGCAGTAAAAGATTAAAAAAATAATAATTTCACAGCCAGCGTTGACATCTCCGAATAAGGAGAAGCAATCGATGGCGTTTGCAGAAAGAGGAGGGCCAAAAGATGAATCTCCTAACAGAGCACCACAAATACACCCAAATAAACCAAAACAAAATCCTGAGAATGCAACAATGCTCTCACATGGAAATGTTCATGACGTCCATCACTAAGCCTTCCATCATCAGCGTCGCAGCTTCTCCAGAACAGCTCATCTCTTGTCTTTGTTCCCCTGCATTTTCTTCTTAATTTTAACACTTTTTTATGATGAAATGAAAATTACCTCAACCATTGATTTAAAGACTCTTATTACAGTCATGAGATTATGTACAAGGGTTTTCAATTTAAAATACAAGTGTGGAAGGGGAATCAAATCTAGGACTTCGGGGGCATGATTAAACTACTGGAGCTACAAACCCCTTGCAAGTAGGTCATTGTGTTTGAATTATAACAATTAGTAAACTATAGGAGGATTAATAAATCAAAGAAACTTAAAATCCAGGCACCAAAGTAGAACTTCACCCAAATTACGAAGACCAAAAATCATATAGCATCCTAGCACTAGATCAAGAACATATAATAGAGAGGCAGACCTACCATAAAAAGATGATGATGATGATGATGAAGATGATGATGATGATGTATGGTTTGCGTTGGTGTTGGTAATAAGCTTGATAGGGCATGAGGAGATTGGAAGAACTGGGAGATTTTGACAATTGCAAATTTCAACCATGTAGCCGTCTGGATCATGAAAGAAGAGCTGGTCCACAATAACACCACCTTCTTCCACCTTGGCTGTCACATACTCTATCCTCATCTCCTCCAGCTTCTGAATAACCATCCCCATATCTGAGCACTGGAATGAAATGTGGTTGTCCTTTGGGTTGATTTTGCCTTTCTTTTCTGGGATATTTTTGTCTGACTCTAGCAGATGAATACCAATTCCATAGTTGAACAACCTGAGATATGATGATGATTCAATTAGCAATAATCTTAGATAATTAATTATGAAATAGTAATTAGAAAAAGAATAAGCTGAGCAAAAGTTCCACACATGGAAATAAGAAACAAGAAAAAAGATAAAAGATAAAAGATTAAAAAATAAAAAAGGTTATAATGAGGGGTGAGCGAAAGGCTGTGTGCGTGTTTTAGAAATAGAAGAGGTTAATTAGTGGGATAAGGGTAAGGGCGGCGTACCAAGCTCCCTCAAATTTGAAGGAAGAAGGGCGTTTAATGAGCACAAAACCCAATACTTGCTCATAAAACCTCACAGACTTGCTCACTGACTTGCAAACAAATGACACGTGATTTAAACACAGCTGAGGCAGCTTCGAAGATGAAATCCACATTTCTGTATCCTCAAACTCTCTTGCATTCCTCATCCTCACCCTCTCTCTCTCTCTCTCTCTCTCTCTCTCTCTCTCCCTCTCTCTCTCTCCTCTCTCTCTCGTTTATTGTGGTGGTGATATGAGAGAGTCTACTGGGTTATATAAAGGCTGATAAGCACAGAGGGAGATGGGGTCCATAAATAATTGGAAAGAAGATTCCAGAAATTTAAATAAAAGTTTAAAAACAAAACCGTACTTTTCTTATTTGGGAGCTTCACTAATATACCCAAAAGAGAGACTGAAATTATTTTAAAAAACCCTATATGGAATGCACTTTAGAACACACCCAAAACTCATTTACTACATAAGAAATTGGTGTTGAAGTTCCTATAAATTACGTGACAGTCATTGATCAACTTAAAAGAAGCCCTAACACCTAAAACAAGCACATCCCAATTTTATAAAAAAAACCCAAACAATTTATTACAAACAAAACGTTTTGAAAACCGTAGCGTCATTAACATGTCATGTTGACTAATGACTATAATGTTTCACACATTTACTGTTATGTTGATTAATGATTGTAATGTTCCAGTATAGGGTAATAACATTGCTAATTTACTGTCATGTTTATTAATAGCTGTAATGTTCCAGTCTAGGGTAATAACACTGCTAGTTTCCTATGACATCTTATTTCTAATGCATATCTACCCCTGTAATGTTCTAGTCTAGGGTAATAACACTGCTAGTTTTCTATGACATCTTATTTCTAATGCATATCTACCCCTGTAATGTTCCAGTCTATGGTAATAACACTATTAGTTTCCTATGATATCCTATTTCTAATGCATGTCTACCTCTGTAATGTTCTAGTCTAAGGTAATAACATTGCTAGTTTACTGTCATGTTGATTAATGCTTGTTATGTCGCTATTTCTAGTACATGTTCACCAAAGAAAAGATGAAGAAAGAACAAACCATACCAACTCAAAACAAGCCGAGCCCAGATTGTTAATACTATTATGTCATAAAGTACATTATTAATACTCTGTTATAGAAGTACATCGTTAAACAAAAATGAGATCCATAACTGAGATAGTAACAAAAGATAAATCGATTATCAAAGCTTAAAATACATTTCGAAAATCAACTAAAATCCAAAGAGAAACACATAATCTCAAGTCCAAACCAGACGACGACAACGACAACGATGACGATGACGATGATAACGACAATGACAACGATGACGTGGCGAAGCAGGAGTACATCTCGAAGATGAGGAGTAGAGCTAAGAGCATCTGATCGAGGTTCGTTCGAGGTTCCAAAAACAAAAAAAAAAAAAAAAAAAAAAAAAAAATCAAAAGAAGCACGATTTTGGAACAAGAAATCGAATGTGAAATATTGAAAATTGTATATAAGAGAAGAAGAATATAGTTGGACCTGAGACTGAGCTTCAATGGAAGCTCCTCTTGCTCAAACACAAAGAAAGCACCAGCGAGAAAGGAGAAAATAAATCTGATTTGGTTTTTTGGTAGATTTGGTTTTTTTGCAGATATGATTTTTTTGGCAAATCTAGGCAGATTTGATTTTTTTTTTCTCTCAAATCCATAGTACAAGGGCAATATAGGTATTTTACACACACAAATAAACAAAAAATAGATATTAAATTGAAAAAATTGACAGCTGTCGATTTTTGGGTTTTTGTTTTTTTGTGTGTTTATAGTTTTAAAATAGTTTAGGGTTTCTTTATAAGAATATGTCTAAGATTGGATATATAACTAAATTTGTATTCTTTTTTTTTCCTGAAAGGTGAACAAACATTTTTATATGTGAGAGGGAATACGTACGATACAATGTAGTCAACAAAAACAAAGTTAACACGAGAATATAGCATGAAATGATCAAGCCCTAAAATGTGATACAACTTTATTTAATGGCATTTTGGATGAAAATACTAGGACTCTGACAATAGCTAGATTTATTGAAATTTTTTTAAAAAAAGGTTTGGAGATTATTTTGATAGTGTGAATTTTCTTGCTTGAAATAATTTAGGTTATCCTTTATAAATTGAAGAATCGGACATCTCTGATCACTATGTATTTAATCTTTGTATATAATATATGTATGGGATCTTTAATAGCAATGGTCTCTATATTTAGATCTTACGTGGCTATTCACCTCATCTGCCACATAAGGTGGTATGAGAATATAGTATACAAATGTGGTAAGAGTAACATTATTTCTTTAAACTCTCGCACATATTTCAGTGTAGTTATTTTATTAATTTTTCTGCCTATTTAAAGAGTAAAACCGTCAATTTGGATACAATTATCTTCTAAAACCCAATGAAAAATGTCACAGATAGGGGTGGAGCTACAGCAACACCTGGCCTTGCCCCTTCATTTATTTTCCAAACCTATATAATCTATTACAAAACATATGCTATCATAATGCAATTTCTCCAATTAACTTAGTGTTAGGCTCCCAATTGAAGATGAGAAAGCTATACGCAAGTAAGTTACAAATTTTGACCCTTCCATATTGAGAATCCTATATATCTGCCCCTAATTATGAAGTAACTAGATTAGAACATGTGCTAGAGTTGACGAACCAAAATGATTAAAAAAAGAGTTGGAGAATCAAAATGAAATTTGGTACAAGTTCAGAGTGTATATATTAAAGGAGTTTCAAAACTGGAAAATACATATATACTGAGTAACATGAACGTTAATTAATTAACTAACATTAATGCCATGACGTACAATGCCCATTAACTGTTCGAGGAGAAATTATACAACTATTTTCAAAGTTGATTGACTTGACGAATTATATGTGGGATGTGATAAAAAAAAATCTAGCAAAATATGAGCATGTGATCCTTCCTCATGTCAATTGTGTCAAATAAGACCAATCCAAAACAGACCACATGGTGGTTGAATAGGTCCATAAATTTAGGCAAATTCATTTTTAAAAAGAGAGGTGGGGCCGGATTCAATTTGATCAGTTCATCATGATAGAGTTTTTGGAGGACCCATTGAGTAGAAACTCAAAGAGATATTTTTTATTAAAAAAAATTGTACTGTCGTATTCTTTTAGGGGGTGTTTTTGGTTTTCAATCAAGAATGGTTCTTGAATTTCATTTTCTAAAGTGCTAGTTTGAGTCCTCAAACTTTTGAATCAATCAATGTGATCCTTAATATTTTTTCATTAACGCATCAATTAGTCACATGATAACAGTGATCAATTTTAAAAAGGGTATTTTCATTAAAATACAATATATTTACCCATGACAAAAAGTAAAGCTCGAGTTTTTTGCTTAACGTGGCTATTTGCTTTTGCTGACCCTAAATGGTGAATAGATAACCTTATTGAGAATACAAAGACATAAGTTTAAAGACTAAAATGAGTTATATTTTGATGAAAATGCTTGTTTAAGGTTGGTCAAGTGATGACACAACCAAGTTTAACAAAAATTTAGGGACTCAATTGATGTTTAGACCAAAAGATCAGGTCAGATGACCAAGTTTAACGAAAATTTAGAGAACTCAATTGATGTCTAGACCAAAAGATGAAAAACTATATTGATTGATTTAAGAGTTAAAAACTAAAATGAAAGAAAAGAATTCAGGTATCATTTGTCATAAAAACCTTCTTATTGCACAACAGTCTCATATTTTTTCTGGTTATTTTCCTATAAAATGTGAAAAGACGGATGATAGTGAGAAACAAAAACCAGCATGTCTGGATTCGAGAGCAAAAAACCAACAAAAGAGACAGGGTAGGGTAGCAAAAAACCAACTTGGTGGGGTTGTAGCACGTGAAAATGTCCCAGAAAAATAAATCAGCACATGTTTGATGTAACACCTGGTAAAGACTTGCCACCTAAACTCTTTAAGTAGAGAGAGACAACAAGGGAGACCTTTTCTTTGTTGAGAGAGAGAGAGAGAGAGAGAGAGAGAGAGAGAGAATAGCATTCACATAAACATTCCAATTATTGCTAGTACACGTTTTAATCGATCGGAACGTTTATACTCTCAGCCACAGCTGGTTTTGTTGACAATTATAGGTAGGTTTCAAACCTACTTCTAGCTTCTCGCATAAATTCTCACGTGCGGGATAATTGTTGCAGAGGATGTCTTCTACTCACATCCCGCAACATTTATCCAGAAATGTTACTTTATCTTCTTGAAAAATCCTCTTTCACATCTGAAGCCTTTTCCAGGTGGATTAGTGCGGCTATAGCCTACTACATGCACATCCAAGCCTACTGCTGCATGCCACGATGTTTCTAAGCTAGAATCTGACCTTCTTGTTTATATATCTTTGTACCTGGTTCTATCACCACTCGGGCACCGTCCAGCTTCACGTCAACCAGTATCAACTAAAAAACACAACAAAACAAATCTCGTGTTTCACTTGTGACTGATTATAATAGCTTAGTGGACCTTATGAACAGAAGAAGGGGAGCATCTCTCGGATAGTCTCTAAATTTTAGCCAAATTCTAGCTAAAATAGCTAGAAAGCTATTATAGCAAACCACTTTGTGTTTCCTCCAGCTATGTTCTCTATTTTGACTAATCTGAAATATTTTATTATTATTTTCTCTTTCTCCTTCTCTCTTGTAAATCCAATATATTAAAATGAAAAGTAGAAACCCAACCCCACCAACCTCCCAAATGTCTCTCTCTCCCCATTTTTCTCTCTTCTCCTTGGCAGATATAGAGAGCCAAAAGTTAGTTCTCCAAAATAGAGAGCCAAGTAAGGAGTCTGCTGGAAGGAGAATTTTCATTCTTTTTAGCCAAAATAGCTATAGATGAGAGGATAGAAAGTTTGCTGGATACAGATATGCTCTATTAAAAAAAAGGCAATGAATCCCGAGTATGGTTCGTCAAAACTTGCTTGCAAGTTTCAGGTCACAATAATGTGCAAACGTGAATCAATTCTATGCACAAAAGAAAAGGTTTTGCAATAAGAATTGAGTGAAAACCCCATGAGCTTCTACACCAAAATGTTGGCAATTTAAAAACTTCTCAAGTCTAGAAACTTATTATAATTTATAAACTGTTGCATATGAACTTCAAATTTCATTCCCAAAAGTAAACACGGTAGTATAGTTAAAAAAAGGACTTCAAAAATCTGACTTCTAATACTTGTACCCAGTACCCACAGAAGATATGAAAAGAGGTAACTGAAAAATTAATCATTATGATGAAATCCAAACCTTAGCATACACAAGGCAATCTTTTTTAGGACATTTAAACGCAATTTCATTTGTTGGCAAAGTTGAAATTATTAAGTTGATAAAGCATCTGAACAAAACCATGTCAAGGAGCAGAAAAGAACGGTAAACAAGAAAGAAAGAAAGAAAGAAAGATTCAAATTGATGCAATGTCGATGTTTATTATAATACCACCTGCCACTTTTTTTGGTCAACACAATCACCTTCCACTATTACTCGAAACTAACTGCTGAATTTCCAACAACTCACATCCTCTCACCGGAGGTAATACCAGCTTGGCTTGCATGAGATCCCGATCAGCATATCTTACTTCTGTAGCACCAACATCAAGCCTCCTAAGAATTATATTGATCACATCAATCTCCCTACAACCTCCCTCATATTTCCATATCATCACAGCATTGCAACAATCTTAAAACACAGCATCTGAAGAGCCATTCCCACTGTCTTCTCTCCTAGTTCTTCTATACCGCCACCATCAGCAGATGGAAATCTGTCTTCAACCACCAGAAGGCGAAACAAGAGTCGCTTCATCCCTTCTTTGCATCTTATTCATTAGGTGAATGTATCGATACCGCATACCCATTAATGGGTGCTTCTCAATCAAGAAGTCCTTCCTATATGCCTCCCTTAGGACCACAGTTTGTGTCCTAATTTTATTTGAAACATAGAAGATTCCTGGGTGATGCACCACAGCCTTTTTTAACCTCGACCTTTCGAACCCCAAATACTCTCCCAAAACAAACAAATTTTCCCTCTCTGTCTTCTTGGAAATCATAAGCCAAAGAACCTCATGAAGCATTGCCACCATCCACTTCTCTGCCTGATCGCTATTTGGTGAAAGATGGGTTGCATTTTCATATGGCGAAATGTATGGCAATGCCTGCCATTCCTCAACCCATTCCTTCACCCTATTCTCCAAATCAAACCCCTTGGGAAAATTCATTGGAAACCCAATGTGCTTCGATAAGTTTGCATTCGGGGCACAGACCATTATTGGCCTTCTTTCCAATTGAGAGAAAGCAAGCTCCTTTCTCCAACAAACAAGACCCAAAGCAATCTCTACTTTACCAGTTACCGCATCCCCAACTTCACAAGCCTCAAAGTAGTCAGGAAAATCAGCAAGAAGGGTACCCACAATATCATGAGGAAGACCCAGATCCCATTTCAACCTGTTAATCAGGTGCATGGGCAATTTGGTCACTCCAGCGAGCATCAAAAGCTTAGCAAGTCGCTCAGTGGCGTTGTATTTGTTAGACATGGAGGTATGAATGGTTGACTCCTTTTTGTGGAGCAAGAGGGTCTGTGGAGTGAGCTTGACATGGGGCGGGAGACCAGGGGAGGGCTGGAATATGGAGAAGAATGAGGGGTATTTCTGGAAGAATTTGGAGGATGTGGTAGGGAGGTTTAGGTGGGGTTTGAGCAAAGAGGCTGCAGAGAGAGGGAGGGACTTCGAAGGGTTGGAGATGATTTGGTTCTTGAAGGAAATGACTTGTTTAAGGTCTTTCTCTCTTTCAACTGCGTAGTCCAAGTATGGATCTCTGACCCATTTTACCTTGGCGTTTACAAAGGCCCTGATGGTGTTGAACCGGTGTGGAAGCAACCTAATCAGAGGCAAAGCCATGACTGTGAATCATCAAACCTAAACATCAAAGCCCATATCAGAAATAACTCATACAATGATTTATTTATTTTTAAAAGCAACCATCCATACAATTCAATAGCCTACAATTGAAATATAGAACTCATATTCTCTCCTTGGCACTGATTATTATTGTGCCTCCTTATTTTCTAATTTAAATCATCCCATAATTTTAAGAAGAGAATCCTAAGAGTGAAAATGCTTCATACAAATCAAACCTACTCAAGAAAACAGTCTCTCCACTCAAACCCAACCACCAATTTTTCCAAGATTCCATATCATTTTCCCTGTATTGCATTGCAGCAACCACCCAAAAGACAATTCTAATTTTACTTGAAATGAGTGAAGAGAAATGCCAAAATTAACACTCCAACTGAGAAAACACGTAATGTAGAGCAAACCAACAGCAAACCCCCGAAAGGAAACTTTGATCAGAAATATAAACATAGAGGTTACTGCATAGGAAGTTGCTTACCCTGCACATGGAGGAGCAGAGCTGTGGTCGTCACACCTTCCACTGCCTTTAAACTTATAAAACCTTCTGTTAACAAATTAGGTGAAGATGGATCAAAGTCAATTCTAATGTATACTTTGATATCCCAGATTGAAAAAGAATCTTACACTAAGCAAAATACAAGTTATGACAAATGGTGGCTATGCCAAAAAGCAATTGATGAAAATAACCATAGCAACAGTAAAAGAACAAAAGGCAAATACATATGGTTTGCCCATTCCTCTCAACTTCAGTCATAGTTCTTATTGCATATTGAAAATACATCCTATCACTAGTATAACTCCTGTTTCAAACGTCATAACATGAGAAGAAGGAATAACAGTATATCCCCCCTAAATTTCATGATGGGCAACAGTTTACATAGCAATAGGTATTATAGTCAAGCAAACATGCCTTCATTGGTAGCAAGCATAGAAAAGAAATAAAATTCATCTCATGCTTTCTGGTGATGGTGTTGGAGTTTCCATACAGGTAGAATTTTTCACTCTCTCAAAGCGACCGGGAAGACGAGCTTGTTTCAACTTTCCAGAGATTTCAAATTTTGTACCTAACAAAAACCTACCAAGCCTCTCTTTCAATATAGGAGACAGTGCATCACAAGAGGTCAAGACATCAAGTGAACGGATCACTCCTTTCTTTACACATACACTAAATGATGATGACACACCTTTAACTAAGATATCATAATGTTCCACATCATAGTTGTCCATCAAAAGGAACAGAAATTCGAGAAGAGTGTGTGTTATATCAATGTATCCGGGTACAGAGTATACCATTAACAGCATTGCAGGTTCAATATTCATAATATTGTCTACTCTTTCTTCAAAGAATAGCCAATCATAAAGTAGAGCCAGTTTCGCATTAGCCTCAACATAATTCTTCGTACAAGATCTCAATAGCCAACCTATAACAGCCCATCTTGGAATGACATCTGACTGAATAATTTCATTTGGCGGGTGGTGTGCACAACATATAAAACGAACAATGTCGACTATGAGAGTCTCTCTGTTTGGCTCACATAGAAACTTCTTGGCAAACCATGCCTGGTGACGCTTATGACTCCCCAACTTCACATGCGTGAGTAAAAATCTCAACTGTGCCTCCATTTCTGGAGTAATCCGAAGTAACATATACCGACTTGGAGTCCTTGTGATATAGAGCTGTGCAATACCAGAAAATCCCAGACTCTTAAACTCACCCTGGTTCAGTACTAAATCCTTCCATATAGCTCTAAATTTGGGTAAATGGACCAAATCTTGTAGGAGTCGAACAAGATCCCTGCCAATCTTCAAACACAAAGGAAACTGCTCCTTTAAAACTTTAATACAAAAGTCAATCTCCAATTGCTTTAACGCCTCTAATTTTGGATTACTTAACTGCCTACAGTGATCAGCTAATAACCGAAGATATGTATACAACCCACTCGTCAAGATCATCGATTCTACTTCCAAAAGACAATCCCATTTGGTCAAAAGTATGTTCACCATCTCAAAACACAGCCACAAATTTCCTTCACTAAAATCCCCACCAACAATTTGCCTCAGCAAACAAACCAACAAACCATCAACGCCTACTGCTAGAACATCAATCAACTCCTTAGTAACCCAAATCAGTTGGCACTTGATTGGTTCAAGAAGTTTCACATACAATTCATTCACAACATTGGTGAGGAAACTAACAAACAAGCCATACCCATCAGTGACAATGGCATGCAAGTGCTTAATATGTGTTTTTCCCAAATGGCATTCATATAAAACTCCATAAAGTATCGCTTTGTTGAGCAGCGAGTATTCTTGTGGCTTTGGAATCGTTATTGAAAACGGGGGTCTTAGTTTTGGTTCAAGAAGCTCAAAGGCTTGCCTCAGAGAGAGCTCTGTTGGGTCTTCGGCTTCGTGGGGAGCGATTTGCATTAGTTTTGAAGCCATGTATGGTTCATAGGGTACAGCTATAATGAATTTGTGTGTGTGATTGAGGCAGGTATAAATGGTATAGAAGCCTTTCTGCGTATTTTCAAGAACCCACCTGCACGCCTAGAAAGTTCACTTGGGCATTGGCAAGCGGTCTCTTGGGTGGCGCCATTGCTCTTAGTAGCTCTATACCCACCTGCACGAGTAGAAAGTTCACATAAGAGCTATCCAATGAACTCCACCACACTCCAATTAGTCAGGCAATAAACCAGGGTGCCATATCCGGTGCAGATACTACGAGTTAAATTAAATTTGTACCACTCTTTGTATTATCTTTTATCTTTTTTATTAAAAAAACAAACTTGCAACAGAAAGCAGACTACCAAAAATACTCAAGACAATAAAACATTTCAATCTGACAGTATAACATAAAAAGAATGGTCTGAAGCCCATAAAGTAGCCCAAGATCAGACCTCTCCCACAAATTATGCACCTCCTCCCCTCTAACATCGTAAAAAATCCTTCTATTTCTTTCCCATCTCAACTAACCATCTTCTTTGCCATCTCTGTAAAAGAGGTGCACAACATGATGAGTTGAGGTGGTACAATTAGTTTTTATTCATTTATTTATAAATTAAATTAAATTATGCGATTATAGATGCAATTTATGATTATGACAAAAGAGGCACTTAAAAAATATAGCTAAAATATAATCTCTAAGAACAAATTTATTCAATCCTAAATTTACCATAACCCTATAACAGTCTAGTGTCTGTGTACAGCCTCATTGATGTTTTTCATTATCAAATATTTAGAATCCTATATTAATAGAAGTAAATGAAAATATACATTATAGGTGAAAAGGTTTTTCTAACATGTAGCATGAACAATACAAACATTGGTGAATAACTAAACTGTTTTCATAACCCTGGGTACAATTAAGGACAAGAGAACTTCGTGGATAGTAGATTTTCTAATTAATTATGTGGTGCTTTATCAATATTTATGGAGTTTTTAACACCTCATCACATCAACTATAGAGCTATACATAGAACCGAAAACCAGGTCAGCATATGTATATAACATAGTTCCAACACATTAATACAAACTAACAGCAGGCATTTAATTTGGAAATACAAAAGCAAAACAGTCCTAACCAAAATTGATTTAAACTAGCTAGCAAGAACTTTCAATTAAGAAGCCCAAATGACAGTTTCAATTGCAAAACCCATTGCCATTCACAAACCCTAATTTGAATTTCAATTGACAGACACAAATTTCGATAAATTGGCAAGCATAAATTAAATTAGGGTTAATTACACTTTGGTACCATGTGGTTACACCCTTAAGACATGTTAGTCCATATCTTCTCAATTTTTACAATTAGATACCTCGGTTATTTAAATTTGTTACAATGTGGTTCCTCTGTTAGAGTTTCCGTCAGATCTCTAAGTATGGGTCCCACATTTTTCACATTTTATTAATTTAAAATTGCAGAAAAAGAATCCTCCCAAACCAGAGCCGCCCCCACCCCGATTTTCTTCTCCCCCATTCACCCATGACCACCACCCTGCTGTTTTCTTTCCATCAGTTCATGATCTACCAAACAGGGGAGAAGACACAAGCCAACCCAAAATTCTCATAATCACATTCACCACAACTACGAGACACCAAATTATAACGCTAATTGTACAGTTATGTATTGAGGAAATAAAATAAATCAAAACACCCAAATTCAAAAACCAACTATTTTTTTTTTTTCTTCCAATTTGTCGGTTTTTAAATTTGCAGAGAGAGGGGTAGAGAGCGGAGAGGAGAGAGAGATACAGACCGTCAGATCTCGCCGGAAAGCGTCGGGCGAGGGCGGGAACGAGCTCTGGAGCCCCTGGGTACGATACGCTTCGGATACGGTCCGATACGCATTGGATACGTATCGCAGTCAACGGATACGTCAGTTGACTAACGGATACGAGTATCCGACATTCCAGACACGAGTATCTGACTTTTCGGATACGAACCTCCGGGCGAAGTTTGCCGTTGAGGAGCCCCTGGGTGCTGCGTGTGAAGAGGGAGGGAGGGGGAAGAAGAAGAAGAAGATGTCAGACTGGAGGGAGGTAGAGAGGGAGGGAGAGAGAAGAAGAAGATGTCAGACTGCAGGGGGAGAGAGACAGAGAGACAGAGAGGGAGAGAAGAAGAAGATGTCAGACTGATCTCAAGTGACGACGTCGTTTGCTAAAACAGGATTTGTAATATATATGTATATATATATATATTTTTTCATAGATCTGTTTATGGGTTTGGGTCTTAAACAAATGGGCTTTGGGTAATGATATATTTGGGTGATAAAAGCTATAGATGCCTAAAAATATAAAGAATCAGAAAAGAAAGCCCAAAATGCTACACTATATTTATAATTTATAATTTATAATCTATTTAAAATATATTTTAGGTTATATATATTTATTAATATATATTTATAATAGCCGTATCCATGACGTATCGTATCCTAATTTTTGAAAATTTGCCGTATCCCCGTGTCGTGTCGTGTCGTATCACCGTATCCGTATCCGTGTCCGTGCTTCTTAGATGGAGAGAGAGTGGTCGGCAAGCTATGGTTGGTAGGTGGGGACCGGAGTTCGGGGTCGGGGCAGAGGGGGAAGGGGAGGGAATCTGAGTGGTTGCGGGCTGGGGTTCTGGGTTCGTTTGGGGTTGAGGGGTTGGAGGATGGCTACGGGTGGTGGTCATGGGGGAATGAGGGGGAGAAGAAAATCGCAGGTGGTTGGGGGGGATTTTTTACTTCTCATTTTCTGAACATTTTCCTAAATTTTTTTTTAATCAATTTAAAATTAACAAAAAATGTAAAACCCTAATTCATACTGCCACGTAGGCAACTAACGGACATATTTGACAAAAACCCTAACCTGGAATCACATTGAAACTAAAAGATAGTATCTCATTGTAAAAATTGAGAAATATAGACTAATATGTCTGGTATAACCATAGGATACTAAACTGTAATTAACCCGTTAAATCATCCTTAGAAACAGCAGAAATATCCCAAGAACCTACCAACATAACATAATCCAACAACAGCAAGCACAAATTAAATCCAAGCCCCAATTCAATTTCATACAAAACCCTAATTCAGTTTTATGTACAGGCTACCAATAAAATTAGGCTATAAAGCCTTTGAAATTAGCTCAGAAAACTCCAACAGCCCCATTGAAACCGAAAGCCAAAATTATTTCATCAAAAACCCTAATTTATTTAAATTAGCGAGCACATATTAGTTGGAGATTGAAAAGCTGCCCATCGAGATGAGAAAGAGAGAGTTAGAAAAGAGGCTGATATGAGAGATAAGCCGCTAGATGAGAGAGAGAGAGAGAGAGAGAGAGAGAGAGAGAGAGAGAGGAGGCTAGCCTGAGATTGAGATGAGAGAGACGTGGCGGAGGCCGGCCTGAGATTGAGCAGCTGCTGCTGCTGCGCGTCGTCGAGTGAAGAAGAACAGTGGCGGAGGATTGACGCAGAAGTCACTTAATCGGGTACTGCCGATTTTATGCAAAATAACCGGTTGAAGCACCAATCCTAAAGCGCCACGTGTAATAAAATTTTAAAAAATGTGTATATATAATCATGCCGATTCGGGTTTCCTCTTTTTTTCTTTGGGGCTAATCATTTAAAGATGAAAGATTTCCTGGAAATTCGTCCATCAGTTGGTCTGTTTTGTGAAGTGATTTCCCTCAAATTCGTTCGGCCCAAGAACTACTGCACTACGCCTAGCCTTCGGGGTAAGGAAAGGGGGTATTTTAGACAGTAGCCTACTGTTTAAGGCGAGTTCAGCAAAGGATAAAAAACAGCTAGCACATGGCTTCCTAGCAGTGTTGTAGCGTTTTTCCCAAGCCATTGCCTATGGACAGCTCCGTATTTCGACAATTGCCTTGCATTCGGGGGAATTTCTCGCTACTGACAATGGAACAATGACAAGCTCACCCGATAAATGCCATAAGCACATCTCATGGATTTCTATTTTTGAAACCCAAAGGCATTGCATATACTGGATTTTTGCCTCAGTTTAGGTGCATATTGGTGTGACCATTTTTTCACAAACATGATCCAATTGGAATTTGGTACAACAAACACAAGCAACATATACAAGTTTTGGCATGCAGCATACCAAATAATTCACAAAACGTAGGTGGGGGATAAAGGGGACCAAGGTCCCAAAAAGGAGTTGTCCAAAAGATGCAACTCTCCACACAAAACTCTCGTCTAGAGACTTGGGGGATTTCTGTTTGTGAGGTAAAGTACCTCTTGGTCGAGCTGAGCTAAAGTACAAATGACTAAGCTGAGCTCTAGTCCAGGTGGTCGAGTTGATTTCGATATCAATGGACGAGCTGGGCTTGAGCCTGATCGCTATGCATTTTCTCCACCTTAGCTCAGGTAGGCTTGTAAGCCCATTGGTCCATGAGCTTCGATCTGATGTGGGTAAGGCTGGCATTAGCCTAATTTACGTGGTGTTCACCAAGAGGACTTCTAATCCTAGAGAAGATAAGATGTTTCAAGCTCACCAAGACACCTACATAAATGGAGTCCTATAGTTCGAGGATGACTAGGTTGTTCTGGAGTCCTAGTTTGAAGAGGGTTAGGTTGTTCTAGAGTTCTATTATGAGAAGGACTAGGTCGTCTAGGATGATATAAAAGGTTGATCAAGAGACCCTTCCTCAAAGGTGTGTCATTATAAGTACCAAAATCTATTGTGCGATTTGCTCTCAAACACTCGATTGGCTTAAGCATCGGAGGGTCCTTGGCGGGCAACACACCGGTGTCACCCACCATTAGCTCTTTTGTTTTGCAAGTTCTCAAGGACGACTTGGTTGATTATGCTAGTCTAGTCTGTAAGAATTGCCCAACCTCGATCTCTAAGAGATCATCCTCTCTTGAACCAAATTTAGGCACATTAACAAAAGACAATCCTCTCTCTTCAGACACTCAGAAGTCGATGGGTCCGTGAGGATGAGTAAGTAAAGATGAAGAGAAGGAGCATGTAAATGTAATGTTATTGGGCACTGAAAGACATTGACTAGCTAATAGTATTAGCCACTTAAGAACAGTTTGAGGGACTAAAAGCACGTGACTCTCATACTATATCAAGATAGAGGGATTTTGGCACTGTTTCTTATTATCCATGTCTAATGACAACTCATATACTTTATTTTTGCCAATATATGGCGGTATTAATGTACTTCCTTGACTCCGTTAATGCGGAATTTCACCTGACAATTCATCTCTTCTGTTATACTGCCCAGCCACATTCCAATTTCCCTCTATGCAGAACTTGCACAATTTGCAATTGTCGAATTAAATCCCCAATTAATTATATACAAAACTCCCAATGTTCACTCTTTTATAAATAAAAGTGAAGTATACTCTGTTCTTGGGGAAAAAAAAAAAAAAAAAAAAAAACGAAACCACATACAGCCCCACAATGACTCGTTATCTATCGGTCTGTCAAGAGAAAAAGGAAAATTATTAAATAAATTGAGAGGAAAGTATGTGGTAGTTTTCTCTTTTACCGACGGACCATTCTCTCATGGCCTCCGTGTCTTCTTCATTCTCAAACTCAAACCATTTGAAAGTGTGGGAGGTGCAATTTGGAGTGCCGACATAACATCATCCAGCCTAGAGTTTTTATATTTAAATTTTTTTATATATAGACATTTTGTTTTCGATCACAAATATAACTCGAGGAAAAGTTTTTTTGCTCAACCCTTGGAAATAATTTTATTGGTGGGTAAATTCTACACTTTTTTTTCTTTGGAAGTAGCCTTTTTCTCACACTTTTGCCGAGATGAATAAATTATACTGAACATATTTATTCATTGTAGGCCAGCAAAGCAATCTCAATCACGAGCTTTTATTATTATAGTAAATTTGGCTTTTTCTCTTAAGATTAATTTTTTCTTATGTGCAGTCCATCATCTTATTTTTTTATAAATAAAAAAATTCAATTTTTATAAGTAAAATTCAATAACTAGAATCCAATTAAATAAGTTACCTAATTAGGCTTAATATCTCAAACTTAATATATTTCGCATCCAAAAATACCCCTAATTAATGTGTTGTTTTGTAGCTTTATTGTCTCTATTTATTGTACTGATTTTAATGTTTCATTTCAATATTTTGATTTTTGTCAGGCATGGCACTCATGGAATGAAGGTAGGGGGGTTTGGAGTTGGTTGATGAAGTATTGGCAGATTCATATTCACCTTCAGAATGGATTTCTATTTTTGAAACCCAAAGGCATTGCATATGCATGGGTCAAGTTTCAGATTGGCAAGCACATGGAATTGCATACAACTATATTGGATTTTTGCCTCAGTTTAGGCGCACATTGATGTGCCCACTTTTTCACAAACATGATCCAATTGGTATTTGGTATAACAAACACAAGCAACGTATACAAGTTTTGGCATGCAGCTAGCATACCAAATTAACAAAACGTAAGTGGGGATAAAGGGAACCGAGGTCCCAAAAAGGAGTTGTCCAAAAGATGCAACTCCCCACACAAAACTCTCGTCTGGGGACTTGGGGGATTTCTATTTGTGAGGTAAAATACCTCTTGGCCGAGCTGAGCTCAGGTCCAGGTGGTCGGGTCGAGCTCGATATCAATGGACAAGCTGGGCTTGAGCCTTGGGCAGGATGTCTCCAGAGTATGAGTGCATGATAACTTCTTTAGAGTTCCAACTGTTCACATTTTTTTTAATAAAATATTTCAGAGAAATATTTATCACAATGAGTCTAGCATAAGGAACAAGCCAGAAGATTATATAAATTTCAGTTTGTGTTTAGGTTTAAAGTATTAATAGAACAACATGTCAAGGCAATATGGAGAATTGGAGAAAATTTCAAACCACACCATTTATAATATGATTCATATTCCTCCTCAAATAAAAATATAATCTATCATAAAACATATAATTTTTTCTTTTATTAAAAAAATATAAACTACATATGACTGTATATATAGCTAGTCAATGAATTGGTAATTGCGTAGGCAAGAACCTACCCTAATATCCCCTCAACAAGAGCCTTGATTAACTAACCTAGGATAAAAGTATCCTAAACGTGAAGGGAATGGTAAAAGTGAAAGTTTATCGCTTTCATTCAACTCGTTGTTTACAGTTGCCTCATAATTGTCTTCCTGTTTTTTAGAATGAAGGGCAAAAGGAGAATTGTTGATGTTCCTGCAAAAACATAAGTCATGTGTAAAGTGCTATGTAAATTGATCAATGATAATTAAATATCTGATGTGTTTTGAGAAAAAAAAAAACAAATAAAGAAATAGAAACCATGTTAATCTTAATTTTTTTCCTAGGGCTACAATTGAAGGGCAAACTCTAGCTTTTGATGCCAATCAATTTGCTTATTATATCTCCTTTCATATATTTTTTACCTTTCTTTTCTTCTATTATTTTTTCTTTTGTCAAACAGTAAAATTTTTTGTTGACCATCAATTATTTGTGCAGGTATAGTGAGCAAATTTATGGGTACCAACATCGTTTTCTCTATGAAAATAGATATGATCTTCTTGGCATGTATGGATTTTGTTTATATAGTATGATTTTGGCACTGTAGTTTGGATGAAGTTCCAATTTGGTAAAGGTTTCTGTTCTCGCGATATAACACTGTAGTTTACTAGAGTCTAAGTACAAACAAAGACGTCTTTACCTGCCACGGCGTTTTTCAAGAAAATACTGCAAGGAATATCTTCTTGCCATTGGAAGTCCTGAAATAGGCAAAGAAAAAAACTAGTTAGGGAAGATCTGTTAAAGAAAAACTAGAGCAAATGTGATTACACTTTTTTGTTTGATACTGAATGATCAACTAATCGATCAACTAGTATTCAAAAAAAAAAAAAAAAAAAAAAAAAAAAAAAAAAAATCAATAGATTTTTTTATTTATACAAAACATATTGGGAGAGTTGGGAATCGAAGTTAGGACGATGGATGCAGGGATAAATGCTCTTAACAACTTGAGTTACAAAGCCCTTACAACTGGTAGATATTCTAAATAAAGCAGTGTAAGGTGTTTTACAACTCAATTGTCATGTTGGGCATTGGAGATATTTACACACCAACTTGAGGAGGAGTGTTGGTATGTGATTAAGGGATTTGTTACTTTTTTGTATAATTGACCTATGTGTTAGTGTAATTAGGGTTTAAGTAGCTTCCTATATATTTTCCTCTACAAGAAAGAGAATACGTATCATAGTTTTAACCTAACTTGAATATCTTATTGTTTTCCAAATTCTAACCCTTAAGGACAAGGATGATTTTGCAGGGGCGGGTAAAGTTAGGAAACTGGGGTATTCATTGTAAATTGTTCTTTTTAACCTTTTTTTATGGCAAACCAAAAATCACCTGATATATGAGCAATGCTGAGTATTCAATACACAAAATTTTGGGTATATGGTGAATGCTCTTAACTAATTGAGGTACATGTTGAAATGAACTACTCATACCTGCTCTTATTTTGGAAATTGATAGTGATTTGGGTTTGAGAGGTGGTTTTTGCCTGTCTGTTTTTAACCTTTCTGCAACAAGAGGTTTGACCGATGAGTTTTCACTGGCAAGACGCATAATCGCTTGAGCCTACAATGACAATATCTATGGGAATCAATATAGCAGATAATTTTATATAATTATTCACAATTTGGTAAGATATAACATTATAATAAATTGTTTGAGAAAATTATTTTCAGGAAAAAGAAGTTGAACAGTCAAATATGGCAGTCACAACATAGACTTCATGGATTTCAAGCTTTGGGCACATTATTATTTGCTGAAAATTAAAAATTTGTGTGCATTTCTTTAAACTATTCACCTTATCAGCAGGAATATTGTCATAGACATTGATAATCCCATCATAAAATATTGTAAGCTGTTCTGAAGTCCTGTTGGATTGATCATCACATCTGTGTATATGCACACACAACAAAAATTGAAGAGGACTAATTTCAAAAGGGAAATTAATGTTATAATTAACACAATAAATAATTAGGGTAATGATTTTGGCACTCCTAGTTTAATTCCTTTTAAATACTCTCAGTGGACGTTCCAGAAGCTTAAACGGAGAGTGCCAACATCGCTACCCGAACATAATATATATAACGACGAAAATAAGGAAAACATACCTCAATCCAGGAAGCAACTGTTGCTCTAGCAAAGATAGCCGGTGTCCTGGAAAATTATTACTACCAAGAAATTTAGGTGGTAATAAGGGGCGGGGTGATGAATGCCCCTTGATAATTTCTGATTCAAATTCAGTTTCCATACTGGTTTTAGCCACGTTATTTTGACTTCTTGTAAGAAGATACTTTCTGAAGAACCAAACACTTTGAGACATATTATTCTCTTCATCCATTGATCTTAAGCTGATGTCTCTTTGCTGGTCATCTGGGGTTCTTGCGACTTTTTCAAAACCAGAACTATTTTTGTTTTTATCTTCTCCATACAGTTCTTGGTCTGTTTTCATGAAGAAGTCCTTCATTATAATTGGAGTGCTACAAGCCATGGTATATATATGTTGCTCTCTCCCAACTTATTCCCAAGAAGTGAAGAGAAGTCTTCAAACCTATGTATATATATATACACACATGAGAAAGAAAAACAAAATTACCGAACATCGAGCCCATATAAAGGAAATGAAAATTTTATATATATAGCCAAATTCTCATCATCCCATGACTAGCACAAAACTGAAATGGTATATCAAACGGGCCCTAAGATATGAAGAAAACAGTTCAAAAATGCATACCAAGTTATATAGAATATGCATATATGTTAAAAGAGAGCATATGTGTACCTGAAGAGGTTAGGGCTGGTTTATGAGTGTGCATATAAAGCAAGCTCAGTTGATGGATATATATATATATATATATATAGAGAGAGAGAGAGAGAGAGAGAGAGAGAGAGAGAGAGAGAGAGAGGCGTCTAACAAAAGTTGCTTATTGAGGGTTGATTGGGAATAACGCCTTGGTAGACTCTGTTAGTAATTTACAAATCAAGCAGGCTAGGCTTTCGATGCACACGAAATCAAATTTAACCCCCACACGTTTGGACACAAGTACTGGATATCCAAAATTTGAAGTTGCTGGCAAAAATGAGTGCATGCTTTTTCCATGCAACTCAGAAAGCTGCTGCCGACACAAAAGTTACCTATTTCATGTTCTTACATATTTATCTATATTTACCTATATGCTTCTTCTCTTCAAGAAAATTTACTGAAATTTTCCTATATCTTATGATGCCAATATGCAACCGAATTAGCTTCACCCAAAACATATATATATATATAGTAAGTGGTTTGTAACTAGAGTTATAAAAAGCATTTACTCTCTTGTTCGCTTGATATGTCTTGTGTTCGATTCTCCCGTTTGCTTGATGTCTTGCGTTTGGTTCTCTCGTTTGCTCCATATCATGTTTGATTCTATTTCCTATAATAGTGTTTGTATCAGGAAAAATACATAATACTAATATAGCTCTATTTTATGAAAACAGTGAGAAAATACATTTTCAAATTACATAAATTCATCTTATCTTAACGTTGAAGCTCCAAAAGACACAACCTTCATGCATTTGCTGGTCATTGCAGCAAATGTTCTTGTCATTTTGGCTACAACCCTTGCAAATGGAATCAAATGAGGTTGGAATTTCTTGTCAATTGTCACCATCCATAAAAAATAAAAAATAAAAAAACAAACATTCTAGCAATTTTTTTATAAAGCATACACGCACGTGTATTGTGATGTATACTCATGTGCTTTTCATGGCCCATAAAAAAATAGACCAACGAGAAAGACACCTTGAAATAGACCAATATACAATTACAAGTATTAATATTATATAGTTATAACATATCATGTTAAAAAGGAAACAACGAAATCTCTCTCTATGACCAAGATAAAAGCACAAGAAAATAATGCCGGGCATTGCAAGGCATGTCATTAATTTATACCATTTTTTTTGACAATTGTTATTCACACTCTAAGAAAAACTCGGCATGCATGCACTTCTGCAAGTGCAATTTCTATATCTTGTCTTTTTATTGAAATTGTTTTACATTTTTTTTGTCGAAAATTTTACATTAATGTTTACCGCAAATCAGTCTGGTCTAGCATATCATGAATATCCCAGAAGATTGTATTTTAAGACCAGCATTGCTTTATTTTAGTCGTACTTGGTTTATTAAGTTTAATGACTGAAGTCTCAAGTTATTATCTTTTTTCTTTTTGCCGCAGTTAAGAAGGAAGAGGGGTATATCGAACCGCATATCGCTAGCCTGCATGCCAACACCTCTACCACTGAGCGAAGACCCCATTGGCGAAGTCTCAAGTTCTTGTCACAAGGCATAAAAAGAGAAATATGCTTTTGCCTGGTACTGGAGAGAAACAGCCAAAACAATGGCCATGGAAAAAAATTTCAACAGAGGCGACAACAATGGAAATCCAAATGGTGGTTGAATGTCGGCAAAAGCCGTAGCCTGGCTATATTGATAAGATTGAGTTCCTAAGAGGGTTCAGGAGCCCTGGTTTCACACTATTTTTAGTAGAAGAGTTCAAATATGGCTCAAAACTAAGCACCACAAGATGCTAGAGGAAAGACCATGAGATTCTAGAGGTACATAACATATTAATGATAAAATAGGATGCTTAGTTATATTTGAAGTATTAGTGTGACATCAAACGACATTGTTTTACTTTATAGTTATTAATTTGCTAGTTTCGACATCTCCAAAGTAGATATTGAAGAGAGAAAAATTTCACAGTAAATCAATTTGAGAGTTCAATTTTTTCATCATTTTTTTTTCTGGGGAATGTTTACCTTCGGTCTACCTCGTTCTCTCTAGTGATACTAAAAAAAAATTATTAAATTAATATCTAATTGCATTAGTTTATACTTTATAGATATTAATTTTAAGTGTACTAAACATAAAAAATACGTATGCACATGTACAATACGAGTATTAAAGGTGAAAATGTTAAATTCTTTATACGTGTAATAACTCTGGAAAACTAAAAACAGGACAATAGAGACTCGGGTAATGGCCTAATAATATATGGATAATACTCTAAACAAATCGAATAAACGAAAATCTTTTAAAACAAAAAAAAAAAAAAAAAAAAAAAAAAAAAGGAAAAAAATCATATGTAAAGAGTATAGCCGGCTATACTCTTTATAAAAATAAAAAAAGGATCCCAGTACAGCCGCTCATCCATACTCTTTTTTGGGGAAAAAAAAATCCATAGTATATAGCCCACGGCTATACTATTTGTTTAAAAGGCTTAATTATGTACATGCCCCCTGTGCTTTTACGTTTTTCTCAGATTACCACCTGTGGTGGAAATCGTCTCAAAGTACCCCCCAACGTATAAATAACCGTCTCAATTTACCCCATCCGTCAAATTCTTGACGGTCCGTTACGAATAGTGGGCCCCACTTCGTTTTAACCTTTAAGCTGTTCGAATAAGGGTTTCTCAGTTTGTAACAAAGGGGAAATTGGGTTTAGGGTTCATTGGAGAAGAGGAGAAGAGGGTTGTTGTCAAAATCTGAGGGTTCCTTCGATTTTGGGAGAAATTGGAGAAGAAATCATTCGTTGGCGTTAGACTCTAAGGCTAGAAGGTGCGAAGATGGTGGTGCTTAGAGAATCTGGAGGTTGTCAACCCATATGTAAGTGGACCCATTGTTACTCGATTTTCTTGATTTTGGCATGTGCATTGAACTGTTGTTAGGATTTTGTTTTTGTTTTTTGTATACTTTTTGACTCTGCTGGTTCTGGTGTGATCATTGTGTGGTCCTTGCATGTTCCTAGTGTGGTGTGTTGCTCGAAATTTTTTTGTTCTTTCATATATTTTTTATTCTGTGCTGGCCCCAATATACCTTATGTGGTCCTTGGGTGTTCCTTGTATTATCCTTTGTGTGGTCCTTCTTTTCTCTTTGTGTGTTTTTTTCCATTTGTTAAGTGAATGTTCCTATTACGCAGATAAAGATGCTGATGAGGTTGTCACATTTAAGTTTTTCCATGGAGGTAAACTAGTGAAAAATAGAAAGGACAGTCAGTGGTCTTATTTAGGTGGTGAAGTCAGTTGGTTTGATTACTGTGAGGTTGACTATATGTCCATGTTAGAGTTATTTGGAATGGCTAAAGATTTGGGATATGGCGATGGGTATGATGTGAGTTTTTATGGTGAAGAGTTTGGAACTAGCAGACTCATTCAAATAATATCTGATAGTACACTTTTAGCTTGTATGAGCATGGTACCTAAAAGCAATAGCAGGGTTGTAGTTTTGTACTTGAAGGTAGTGAGCTTAACTTCAAGCCAAGTGGGGAATGATAGCAGTGATAAAGAATATTCTTGTTCTGAGAATGATGATAGCAGTGATCCAGACTTTGAAGACAGTGACTATGCACAGAGTGATGAAGAGATTGAATTATTGAAGAATGATGATAAGTGGTTTGAAGGTTATGTGGATCATAGTATTTTTGACAATGATCCTAATGCAGAGCAAAATGATGAGTCAGACAATGGAGAAGAGTCACCTACACTTACCTGCCCAAATAGTTCACAAAGTGAAGATGATGCAGTGGGTGAAGTAAGAAGGAAGAAGAATAGGATGCCAAAAGGTGAAGATTTCAGACCTGAAATTGATATGGGAAGCCCAAGTTTCAAAATAGGTTTAAGGTTTGCAACTGCCGAGTTGTTTAGAAAAGCTGTGAGGATATACTCCATTAATTGTGGAAGGGAGTTGATTTTTATGCATAATGACCGTAACAAAATAAGAGCAGTATGTGAAGAGGGCTGTCCTTTTGTTATCTATGCTTCAAGTGTTAGTGGTAGCACTTACCTGCAGGTGAAAACCTTTAATCCTACACATGTTTGTAGCAAGGGGACTAAAAATATACATGCTACTGCTGGCTGGTTGGCTGAAAGATATTCTGGGCAGTTAAGGCTCAATCCAAATTGGACTGCTGCTTCTTTTGTAGAGCAAGTTCACCAAGACTATGGTTACAGACCATCTAGAGCAACTGTGTACAGAGCAAGAGCCATGGCAGTTGACATTGTAGAGGGGTCTTACAGCAAACAATATGAAGTATTGTGGGAATATTGTCATGAGTTAAGAACCAGGAATGTGGGAAGTACAGTTATCATTAAATCTGAAATGGAAGGTGATAGGCCACGGTTTCAAAGAATTTACATCTGTCTTGCAGCCTGCAAGAAGGGGTTTTTAGATGGTTGTAGGCCTGTGGTTTGCTTGGATGGGTGTCATGTCAAAGGGCCTCACCCTGGGCAAGTGCTTTCTGCAATGGGAGTTGATGCAAACAACGGAATGTTTCCACTTGCCTATGCATATGTAGAGATTGAGAGCAATTCAACATGGCTGTGGTTTTTAGAATTATTGAGTGGTGATCTCAATATTACGAATAGCCATGGTTATGTATTTATGACTGACAAACAAAAAGGGTTAATAGATGCTGTGAATGCTCTATTCCCTCAGGCAGAGCATAGACATTGTTTGAAACATCTATATGGGAACTTCTATTTGGAACATAGAGGTCTTGCCTTGAAACATCAAATGGAAGCAATTGCTAGAGCCACAACAGTGCCATGGTTTCATGCAGAGATGACAAAGATGTTGCAGTTGTCTAAACCTGCACATGATTGGCTCATGGAGAAAGATCCTAGGCATTGGAGTAGGGCATATTTCAAGACTGATTCCAAGTGTGACATGCTTATGAACAATCTATGTGAGGCATTCAACCGTAGCATACTAGATGCCCGAGACAAGCCTATTCTGACTATGCTAGAAAGAATTCGGTTGTATATAATGTTGTTGATGGCGGGAAGAAGGGTTCTCTGTGAGAAATGGCATGGACAAGTTGGGCCAAGAATTAGAAAGATATTAGAGAAAAACAAAGCAAAAGCTCAGTGGTGCATTCCTAAGGCTGCTGGACAGAATCAGTTTGAAGTAATGCACCATAGTGGCCGCACCTTTGCTGTTGATTTGAATGGCCACTCTTGTTCATGCCATGCTTGGGATTTGAATGGAATACCATGTTTGCATGCATGTGCTGCAATAAGTTGGTTTCATGGGAATCCAGAGGACTTTTGTGATGCAGTGTACAAGAAAGAGGCTTATTTGAGAGCCTATCAACCAATGATTATGCCTATGACTAGCCAAGATCAGTGGATGAAGGTTAATTTACCTCCATTACTCCCTCCGAAATACCACAAGCAGCCTGGTAGGCCTAAGAAGACAAGAAAACAAGCTGTTGAAGAACCTAAACTTCCTTCTAATCCATATAAGCTTCCTAGGTATGGTTTACCTTTAAAGTGTGCCAATTGCGGTGGAGAAGGGCATAATCGAAGTGGTTGTAAGGTATGTGGTTTTTAGAATTATTGCTTTACATTTAAATGTATTTGATTTGGTTTCTGACTTGATGACTGTGGTTATTAGGAACCTAGAAATCCCAACATAAAGCCTACTAGGAAGAGGAACATTGCCAAGGACAAACTTGCAGTAAGTGCCACAGTTTCAACTATGTTTTCACTCATCAAAATTTTATATCATGGAAACTTCTAATTATTATTTGTTTTAGGTAAGAAGGAGAGATGGTGGAGACCAAAGTGGCGGACAACAGAGTATGCAATTAAGGCAAAGGAAACAGTCAAGCACTTCCCAAGGGCCTTCTCAATCCCAGGCATCTCAAGTAGCTGCTGCTTCTCTATCCCAACCATCTGAAGCAGCTGATGCTTTTCAATCCCAGCCATCTCAAACACCTGAACCTGCCAAATTATCTCGAGTACAACAACGTCGGAAGAGGATGAAAGATCAACAGAGGAGCCATTTTGTCAAAGATCCTTTTTTTCATCCTTGAATGTTGTGGAAGACTTTAATGGTTGTTGGTTGTTATGTTTGGAACCTGTTAATGTATGTTACTGTTTTGGAACATTTAAATGTATTTGATGTATGTTATGGTTTGAATATTTGATGTATGTTATGGTTGGACCTGTTTTGGAACCTGAATATTTAATGTATGTTATGGTTGGAACCAATTTTGGAACCTATTTTGGTTTGTGCATATTTCCTGAGGTTGTTATGGTTGGAATCTGTTTTGGAACCTGTTTTGGTTTGTGCATATATTGCTAAGATATATGTTTTGGAACCTGTTTTGGTCTGTTTTGGAAATCTGTTTTGGTCTGTTTTGGAACCTGTTTTGGAACCTGTTTTGGTTTGTGCATATATTGCTAAGATATATGTTTTGGAACCTGTTTTGGTCTGTTTTGGAATCTGTTTTGGTCTGTTTTGGAACCTGTTTTGGAACCTGTTTTGGTTGGAACCTGTTTTGGTTTGTGTTCTGTTTTGGAACCTTTTCTGTTTTGGTTTGTGCTTATAATGACAGGTGCTTTTGCTAGTTTTGGGCTTTGCCTCTTGCTTTCCAGATTCCAGTAAACTTTGACATGTTACCAAAAGCTACATATCCACCATAAACTTTGGCAAAGAAGGCAGGTCCTGCTTTTTTAGGGAAAACTGAATTTTGGTTATCTTCTTCTACATTCATCAAGAAATTACCATTCAATTTACCATTCATATCACATATCAAACTTAACTAGCATTACATTACTTAACTAACTAGCATTACATTACTTAACTAACTAGCATTACATTCATGTCACCATTTGTAACCTCTAAACAGCTTACCATTCATGTCACCATTTGTAACCCCTAAACAAATTACATATCCAGTAAACTTAACTAGCATTACATTACATTACACCAAATGACATTACATTACACTGCCAAAGTGTCTTACATTAGATTAGCATTTGTTCTCAAATTAAATTTGCCCATTAAACTACTGCCAAAGTGCTTAACTACTGCCAAAATGCTTAACTACTGCCAAAATGCCTTACATTACATTAACATCAGGTATCAAATTACAATGCCCAATGAACTACTGCCAAAGTGCCTAATTCATCTTCATGGCAAACACCACCAACCACGAAAGCAACATAGCAGCCCACAATATTTTTGACTTTGCTCGAATATTTGCATTTTCCTTCTCCACCCTATCAATCTTCCTCAGCAAACCAGGTATCAACGATTTTGAACGCTCACACATTTCTGCATCAAACCACTGAAAAAACCTACATCCTTTTTCTCCCCTTCCCTGTATCAACCAAGAACAACGACTGAAAATTTGGGTGGTAAAATGACTGAAAATTTCATCAATCACTGACAATTTCATCACTAACAACTCTATCAATTTGTGATGCCCAAAATAATGACTGAAAATTTTATCTTAAACATGCTTACCTTTGACTTTGGGCAGACTAGAAATCTTCGCCCTGGGTTTGAACTGGTCCAAGAAGTCTGCATCCGTGCTAACTTCCCACAATGACACCATTGGCCATGCCCTCCTTCTCCTTGCTTCTCTCCTGTTTCCATCATCCCAAATCTTCTACTCCACAACCTTCCAATTTCAAACTCCACCTCAGAGTTTTACAAAGAATGATTTCTTCTCCAATTTCTCCCAAAATCGAAGGAACCCTCAGATTTTGACAACAACCCTCTTCTCCTCTTCTCCAATGAACCCTAAACCCAATTTCCCCTTTGTTACAAACTGAGAAACCCTTATTCGAACAGCTTAAAGGTTAAAACGAAGTGGGGCCCACTGTTCGTAACGGACCGTCAAGAAATTTGACGGATGGGGTAAATTGAGACGGTTATTTATACGTTGGGGGGGTACTTTGAGACGATTTCCACCACAGGTGGTAATCTGAGAAAAACGTAAAAGCACAGGGGGCATGTACATAATTAAGCCATTTAAAAACATAAAGGACTTGCGTAGCTCCTAGCGATCAAATAGCGATTCAACGCCACGTGTCAAAACAGTATAGCCGCACGGCTATACTGCGGTTGTTTATTATATTCAAAAATCATATAGCCGCCCGGCTATACTATTTATAAAAAAAAATTAAAAAGAGGACCCCAGAATAGCCGCTGTTATACTTTTTTTTTTGGTATATAAAAAATCCAGGGTATCCCGAGTATAGCCGCTCGGCTATACCGTTTTCAGTAGAAGAGTTCAAATGTCGCTCAAAACTAAGCACCACAAGATGCCAGAGGTAAAGACCTTGAGATTCTAGAGATACATAACATATTAATGATAAAATAGGATGCTTATTTATATTTGAAGTATAAGTATGACCTAAAACGACATTGTTTTAGACTATTAGTTAACAATATCTTCACATAAAAAATAAAACAAAGAATCTGAACTCCATAAGTATGCCAGGAAACTTAGAAAAGGCTTTTACTACCACTTAACATCAGCTGTTGGAGACATGGAGCCAAAAGGATACATTTCTCGAAGGACACCCAAACTGCTGCTGCCCATTGTATTCATACTCACAGCAGATATTGCCGGGTTAGGGAAAACTTCGAAAGGGTGCTATAGTTGTCACTTAACCTCAACTGTAGGAGTCTCCTTGTCAGAAGGATCTACATATCTCCAAAAGAATGCCAGACTGCTTCCCATTATATTCATAATCACAGCAGACAATGCGGCGGGTAATGCAACCATTGGCGAGGTGAAATGAGAAGTGGCCAAAACCACACCCAAAGAAGAATTTTGCATACCAACCTGCGAATTTCAAACATGTAAATGAAGGATTAGTATTGCATGCCCACCAAAATTTATGAAAGTTTCGACATTTTCAATCTGAGTATAAAACAATGAAGATCTTCTATGGACTTACAATAAAGTTTAAGAAGAGAATTTTTATATCTTTATTACCAATTTGACCAAAGCCGAAACAAAACTGGAACACAAGGATTCACAGAAAGCCAGATCATGTCCTAGGTTTACGTTCTATTTGATTAATACCTCAATTGATATTGCTCGTCTTTGTGCTTCTCTAAACCCGCAAACAGCTGCTGATATATACCTGCAAATTAAGACTCTCCTTGATCAAAAAAGACTCCTCAAGTTCCACATTTGCACCGCAAAAACTCCAAAACAAACTAAACAAACAGGCCCAGCACCAGAACCTTAAAGAATATTTGTATGAGTGCAAACTCTGCCAACAATGCTTGTATACAAAACTAGATTCTATCTTCATATGTCAAATTAAAATCCACACAGACAAAGAAGATTGAATATATACTTTCTTACTAAAATAGCTTTTATGGCTATGAAGTCATAATGACAGCAAACTATAGTTTCTCAACTGTTGCTTACAAATTATGAGTGCGTTGTTTTTTCAAAGTATAGTTAACTTCACTCTATAATTTATGTATCAAACTTGACAGAAGCTAAATTAAACAGCAATAATACATTAATACAAGGCTACAACATGATTTTTTTAGAATTTTTGAGCTAAAATTAGAGTGAATCTTTACATATACATACTGAAAAAATGTATACATTACCTTGAGCTTTTTCCACAACACACTTAACAATTAAAGTCACCAACAGTTAAAGGCAACTTACCCCACAAAGAAACCAGCAATATGTACTAACAGCACAGAAAGAATAACCACCCCAACTTCTCCAGATAACATTGTCTGAGCACGAGCCATTAGAGACAGATCAGCCGGCAATGTTACAGCAACCATTGAAGCTTTGAGACGGACAACATTCTCAGAGAATACACTGGCCCACAAAATAAAATCTAGTAGTTTGAGAAAGAGAGCATATTTGGAAGGAACCACAGGCAAGACAATCATATTTTACATATAAGTAATTAAAAAGATATTTATATGCATAACAAATGTACCTGCATGCAAGCAGTGATGCAGCTAGAACAGCAAAAAGTGGTGCAAAAGGTATCACAATTTTAACCACTGCAGGAAATGCACTCTGCATATAAGAACCTAACAAAATTGGAGCAACAACGACCTACAGATGACAGAATAGAGACCATAAGCCCCACCTGATGGATAATATAATATTACTGAAGTTTATTATATTTAACTTAACCTGCATGGTGCTGATTGACAGTTTGGCAGCATCCACAGGGACGTAGGTCCCTGCCAATATCTTTGTTAGTAGAGGAGTCAGGGCTACTGCCCCAAGAGTTGTGCATACTGTCATTACAATAGAGAGAGGAACATCCCCTTGAGCAATTAAGGTCACCTGAAAAGCTATCATAAAAAGCATTGAATGGAGTATCTCACAATTTGAAAATATTAAGGCATTGCGTTCAAACAACACTAGATCCATAACTAATTTCCAGTCTATATTAAAAGGAAATACAAAGTTTCTTTTAGTAAGATTGCATTTCCAGTTTAGAATCACTTTTGTATTAAAAATAAAAACTAGAGAAGTTTGTTCAGAACATAAAGGTATTGTTCAAAGATTAATGTCTTTTTCTACTAATGGTGATTAACCAGCAAGGGAGTGACCACAAAGAAGCACAGAACTTTGAAAAGTTTTCATTCAGCAAAACAGGAAGGGGGAAGGCAAGGACTGAAAAATATAATAAATATGAAAACCCGAATGATGCAGAATGCATGTGATTAGTTTTCCTAAATCTATTTGGATGAATTATTATTAGCTTTCTTTATTCCATTCGGATTAGTTATTACTTCAGTTAAGGATTCCTTGGTGTTGAAGGATCTCCTATTAGTTAATTTGCTTTCCTATTTCTTAAAGTTTACTTTTCCTTTTCCTAGAGTACAAAGGGTTGTGCCTCTGTATATAGAGCAGTTTGTAATCTTTTAAGGCAGACTTGATTAATGATAAATTTCCTTACTTTAACTCACTGATTCCTTCCCTTTCCCTTCGTCCCTTCATCCCTTCGATCTCTGATTCTTCTCCTCGATCTCCCTTATCCTAGACATTCTACATTACCTAAATTAGGAAATAATTTGGGAAAACGTAAAAACCTAACCTAATTGGCCACCTGGCATGCAGTCTGTCATACCACCAAACACATGATTTTAGGTAATAAATTTTTTTTTGCATAAACCAAGCACAGCCGAGACTATGATTTGTGACAATGGTCGGTAATGGTGAATTAGAACGGAAGTTAATAAATTAGAAACAGAAAGAGTGGAGGAAGAGATGGCAAAATCAAAAAACGGTCAGCCTGATAATTTGACTATACAAAATGGTACTTCTGGGAGTACATCAGAAAAAAAATGATGTCACCAGTTTGTCATCGTTAGCAGAAATGGTGAGAATAAAGACCATCATCCATTGTGAGCAAAAAGATGGTACCTTAAGCATTAAAGCATGCCCAAGGTAGAGCAAAACAGGAAACAAGAATTGAATTGTAAGATTGACAGATTTTGTATCATTGATTGAATGAAAAAGTCTTTTTTTTTTTTTTTTTTTTTTTTTTTTTTTTTTTTTTTTTTTTTGGGTCCCTCTACACCTATTTGGGGTAAGAATTCATTCATTATATCCAGAAAATTTAATATACTTCTAATAGTTATAGCATACGTACTCATATCATTTGACAGATTCAAATAATTAAGCCTATGTTGGTATAAGCGGTAGCAACTATCTCTAAATGTTACCAACCAACTGATCATTCTTTTGGCTTTAAGAATACTTAACCTTGCTTCAGTAAATTGTAAGCATTCAAGTTCAGGAACAAATTAAGAGGAAAATAAACAGGTTCATTGCCCTCTGAAAAGAGAAGTTAAAATGCTAGAAAAGTTTATCCTGCTGGATATGCTCCTTAAAGACAGAAAATCATAATGAAAATAAATCTATTAAATGCAACCAAATACTTTTACATTCTGCACAAAAATAAGAGGCATCGTCACTAACTACATCGAATTAGAAAATTACTAATAGAGCCATATCATTGTCAATCAGAACATCAAGAACTCTGGAAAATGTGCTTTATATGAGTTAGGAATGGATGTAAGCTGAAGAAGAAACAAAACTTACCACATTGGAGGCAGTACCTCCAGGGCAGCAGCCAAGCAATATTAAACCAACTGAAAGAGACGGTGGAAGCCCAAATATTTTAGCAACAAGTGTTGCAAACACGGGCATAATAGTGTACTGAGCAACACATCCAAACAATATCTGAACAAAAGTGACAGATAAGAAACTATTAACAGGAGTACACATTTATATTAGCAGCTCTTTGTGGAGCAAAGATAGAGTTACACTTTCTTCATGAGCAACACAATTTATTTGACAAAAACCAATATTGGCAGAACCATCTTAACTAAAAAGTAATTAGTCACTTGAATACATAGCTCACAATAAATATGTTAAAGCATCAATTGCAAACTGGGAAAAGTCAATTTGTTAACAAAGTTTCTAAACATAAAATTGAACTGTATCTGATTAAAAAGAGAAAACAAGGTACACATAAAATGCCAAAAGGTAAATGAAATGCAAACAAACTCTAATAGATCTTGCCACAAACACGTGTAACTTCCCCAAGTAAAGCATTCCCATTATCAAATCAATCTACCAAGAAACCCCAAATTAAAATGCAGTTCTGTTCAAGACAAGACTTACAGAAAGGGGCCTTTGGCGGTACAAGCCAAGCAAGTCCTTATACTCCAAAGTGAGACCCATTGACAACATTATCAACCCAAGAGACAAGGTATATGAAGCTGGGCTTCTCTCAACAAACCATGAAAAAGCAGAGGGTTTGAGGCAAGCAACAACACCCCCAGCAGTCACATAGAAAGGGTACAAGCTTGCTGCAGTGGACAGTATTTTTTCCCATCTGGGTTTTGCGGGAGACACAGCAGAGTGTTCAGAATTTTCTTGAACAGCTCTTATTGTTGGTAAAGTTGTGAGCTTTGGTGGTGGAAAATGTGAAGGCGTTTTGGGTCTAACAGAGATTCTTTGGTGGGTTAAGTTTGGAGGTGAAGTGAAGCAACTGAGTCTGAAAGCGAGGGACATGGTTAACTTAAGGTTATGGTTAATCTATCACTCAGTCTATAGACTAATTCTGGAAGAAAAGAAAGAACAATGCGGTTCTAGTCTTCTTCTAGATTTTGCATTCGGTGGTTTTTGGTTGTAGTTCTTCAGAGTAATGATTTGTGGCACTCACAGTCGAGTGCTTCTATAGTGAGTGGAAAGTTATAAGGGGTTTTTTTGAGGGGTATGTAAGAGCCGTTGGATTTCATCCAACGGTGAGTTTTTAAAAGAGGGTGCATGTAGAACCGGGTTGAAATCTGACCCGTTTGGAGACCCAACTTCAGCTGAAGATTTTTCCCTCTCTGTGAAAAACTCAAGAACACAATCCTCTCTTTTTTAATGTAATGCAAATCCACAATTAGAAAGATCCAAAGCTCCCAAACTCTATAATCGCTCCATTGTCATCAGCTCCTTGGGAGGCCTGCGATCTATGGTATCCTCGGTATGATGATTAATGGCTTTTACCTAGCTATTGCCCTGTTTTGATTCTATGATTGAAGTGAAAACCCCTTCTCTTTTTCGTTCAGCAGAAGAGATTCCAGATGAAAGCAAAGTAGCATATCTCTTTTTCGTGCTGCTGCAGTTGTTCCTGGATTTTGGTAGAGATGGAGTCTCCACTACGAAAGAATCCTCTCTAATGTCCACCACATTCTTTGAAGCTGACTGAGTTCGGAGCTCCCGATTGACTTTGAGAGGTAAGTTCACTCTTGCTGGATTGATTTTGTTGGGTTTGATTTGTTTTTTGTGAGGGTGAGAAATTTGTCATTTGTGGCATCAATAATGCGTCATTTGCTCTGCTATCAATAATGCGTCATTTGACTTTGAGAGGTAAGTTCACTCTTGCTGGATTGATTTTGCTGGGTTTGATTTGTTTTTTGTGAGGGTGAGAAATTTGTCATTTGTGGCATCAATAATGCGTCATTTGCTCTGCTATCAATAATGCGTCATTTCCTTATGAATATTCAATATACTTAGTTGATTATTTTTGTTTGGAGGGGGATTGGAAAATTATGAAATGTAGGTAAAAGATCCTAAACTTAGGCTTAATGGCATTAGAAGTAAGCATTTGGAGAGGATATTGGGTGAAGTTCTGTAATTGCTGGTTTGAATTACATTTGAGTTCTTAGTTGAACATGTTGGTTCTAATGTTATTTTTTCCAGATTATTTCACAAGAGATGACGTAACTAGTATTAAATTTTGCTTGTGTTTTGTGTAATCAGAATCCAACAAGCTAGGCTATGCGTGTATTGTGTCAATTTGGGCAATGTTTTGTGTAAGTGGAATGCATTGCTAAGTTGTGATGCAGTAATGATTGATTAATGAATTAACATTTGCTATGCAGTAATATAGAAGTAGATCAATAATATACGTGGATAAAATGTCTGGGGGCTCAGAGAGTGACGACTCTGTAACAGCTAATGGGAGGGTTTACATTCCTGAAGTAAGAAATGAGGAAACACCAGCAGTTGGGATGAAGTTCGACTCGCTTGACCTCGTTTATAATTTCTATAATAGATATGCATTCTTGGCTGGCTTTGGTATTCGACTTCATTCCAGCTTTTGGGGGAAAAATAAGAAAGAGATTCTGAGAAAAGAATTTGTATGTTGCAAACAAGGTGCATACCGGAATGATGAAACTCGGGAGAGAAAAAGACAACGGGGAATAAGTAGATGCAATTGCAAAGCTAAGATTGTGGTTGTGAAGACACATGGGAGCAAGAAGTATACCATCTCTCTTTTTGCAGAGGGACACAATCATAAGATGACACCCTCAGGAAGAATGCATTTACTGAGATCACACCGTCGTATTTCAGATTCTACAAAAGTACTTACAAAACAGTTGGGTTCGGTTAATATTCCCATTAATCAGAAGGTAAGTATTTTCGAGGTGCAATCCGGAGGAATGGATAAAATCGGTTTTATGAAAAAGGATATGTACAATCTTGAATGTAGTGTGAATGAGAAGCTGAGGAACCACGATGTTGAACTAGTGACCGAGTATTTTATGGCTGAACAGAAAAAAAATGAGGCTTTTTATTTCAAGATTGAGGGAGATGGCGATAACAGGTTTAGTCGATGTTTTTGGGCAGATGCAACTTCTAGACGGGCGTACGGGTTTTATGGAGATGTTGTTGTATTCGATACCACATTCAACACGAATAGATACGACTTGACATTTGCACCAATGTTGGGAGTTAATAACCATGGTCAAACAATTGTCCTAGCATGCGCATTTTTGAGCAAGGAAACGACTGAGTCGTTTATTTGGATGTTTGAAGAGTTTAAGAAAGCCATGCCAGGTGGCGAACCTAAAACGATCATCACAGATCAAGATGCGGCAATGAGCAGAGCGATTTCAATAGCCTTCCCGACTACATTTCATCGACTTTGCATATGGCACATCACATCAAAGTTCTCTGTTAAGTTACCACATTCTGCTTATAAGGAGTATTGGGGTGAATTCCAGAAAGCCATATGGGATACTGACAATAAGGATGAGTTTGATGCAAAATGGAATATTGTGGTTACAAAGGCTGGTTTGACTGACCATCCATGGCTAAGTTCAATGTTTGATTTAAGGGAATCTTGGGTTCCAGCCTACGCACGACACTTTTTTGCCGCTGGAATGTCAAGCAGCCAAAGAGCTGAATGTTCTCATGGTTTCTTCAAGCAATACATATCAAGGAAAAATTCGTTGATGGATTTCATAATAAGATTTGAGAGGGCACTTTCTCATCAACGTCAAAAAGAGTTAGTTGCTGATCACGTAGATGCATTTGAAGTGGCTCAATGTATTCTACCGATGCCAATGAACAAACAAATGGCTACCTTGTACACAAGGACAATGTTTCAAAAGTTTGAGCAAGAACTAATACAAAGTACAGCATGTTTCCTAGAGCTGAAAACAGAGGATGCTTCTAAAGTTGTCTTTAATGTGAGCGAAAGGAAAAATTGGGAAACAAGAGTGGCAGAAGTCGTATATGTCAAAGATTCTGACCACGCATCGTGTAGCTGCAAAAGATTTGAATTTGTTGGAATTATTTGCAAGCACATCCTAGCATTGTTCAGAAGGGACCAGATTGAATATATGCCCGATAAATACATTTTGAAGAGGTGGAAGAAAACTGCGAAATTTGGATTGGTGTCAGATGCAAATGGCAACGAAATTAAAGACTCTGCAGATCCTGGTCTTTTAATAAAGCGGAGTACAATGTCCCGACTTGCTTCAGATGTGGTTGAGGATGCATTAATGTGTGAAGAAGGATGTGAGCTACTGTCAGAGACTCTAAAAAGTTTGCAGGTGAAGTTGAAGTTGTTGAAGGATGGACCAAGTAATAACGAAGTTGGAGGGTCCAGCTCTCAAACACAATATATGAAAGACCCTAAGAGAGTAAGGTGCAATGGAGGGTCGAAACGAGTAACGGGAGCAAAGGAAAAGGCAATGAAGCGAGGGATTAGACACTGTCGGGAGTGTGGACACATTGGTCATGATAGAAGACAATGCCCAAGAAATTTGAACACACCGTAAGATGTTAACACTATTTATAATAAGACCTAAAATTTGAATAGGTAAAGTTCTTATGTGCTTCTGTTTCATGTTTATGCAGGACATCACCGTCGAACAATGACGAATCAACTCCAATAGATCTTAGTGACCCATTATTTGACGAATTTTACAGGATGCACGGACCAACTCAATGATTTAGGTTTCTATTATACGAAGCCCGGTTATTATGAAGACTAATGATCAGGTGAAGTTTTGTAGATGCAGTTTTATTATTATTAATTTTTGTTCATGTCCACCGATGAGCTCTGACTATGTCCATTGATAATTGAAATGAAAATTTGCTTGGTTTCATTCTTGCATGAAATTTGGACACATGTTAATTTTACGTCTTCTCCCTATTTAGAAATTTTCATGGACATTAGATAAAGCATCAAATTTTGATTTATGTGAACAAGCAATGACTTTTACCTTGTAAAATGGGTAGTTTATGGTGAATTATGTTTGAATAGAGATTTATTGATTATATGACAGGCTAATGCAGCATTTCCAGCAGCCAGCTATTGTTTCCATTACCAGTAATGATTTCCAGCAGCACGCATCATTTGTAGCAGCACCCACTTTTTGCGAATGTTATGTTCTAGTGTTTTACTGGTGATTAAGATCTGAGCTGGACTGGTTATTAGGTGCACGATTTTGCAAACATTCGTAGCTGAAGGATACTTGAAGCACTTTGTTGGAACAGAAAGATTAGAAAGCAACGTGTAAAAAAGTACATTGCAGCTAATCACATTTCGAATGGTTGGGTAATATTAAAGGGTACACTAACATTTGAACTACTCATAATTCCACACACAAAAGAAAATTTGATTGCAAAGCATTTTATGTGCTCCCTCTTAGCAATAGCACGATCTCCCCAATAAACTGAACAACGGTAGCCACAATCACTAGGTCGTATTGGTCAGCTTCTTCTTAGCAGGTCTCGCGTGCTTATGGTCACTCATGTCCCCAGTGATTTAGACAAAATAAATATTCAGCAATATTTGGAATTTTATTATATATACATAAACCATAAACCATTCACTACACAATGTATAGCACATGGCATTTTACTTATGACTCACGTGTCATGATAATGGGGCTTTACTGATTACCAGGGTGCTGTGATATTGACTGCTTATTGAATAATATTTCCATAGTTGCAAAATATAATGTTAGACAGAAGGAACACATGATGACTTGCAAGACATAGTCCCAATAATTATATATGAAGCAAATGAAACTGATATTTGTATTATTTTATATTAGATAATGACATTAAGGGAACATAGTTCTAATTTGTGCAATACCACGATCACCCCCAACCAACAGAACAGCTGTAGCCGCAATCACTTAGCCGTATCGGTCGGCTTCTTCCGAGCAGCTTTGACGTGCTTATGCTCATTCATGTCACCACCATCGTCTAGTATCTCTCTC